GAGAGTTGTGACTTGTTGGGCTGTGTGAGTGTGGGAAGAAAGAGGGGATGTAAGGGATGGCAGCCATCAGCATCGGGCTGGTCTGGGGGCTCTCATCGTGGGGTAGAGAGATGACCACGTCGTCCTGGTCCCACACATGGAAGGCATTGTGGGGGAATGGATGCACTGGAGGAGGATGGCTAGAGGCCGTGGCCTGCAGGTTCTTCCTTTCCTTCTCTTCCTCACCAGTCGGACCCAACACACACTCTAAACAAAGGAAGCAGGGTTATAGATTTAATACAACCAATAGTAAAAGGATGTAAGGTCAGAGGCTGCTTAAGTGTAGTATTCTTGATTCTAAAGGCAATGCCCTAAATCAGAGACTCCCCACCAGGGTAACATGTACCCCAGGGAGTACTTCTGAAGGTGCTTGGGAAAGATTGTGGAGTAACTCAACAAATGAAACAAAAAAAATTATATATATATTCACAAATTGAGTGAGCTGCAACAACTGAACGCTACATGTTGCGATTTAAAGGGCATATGAACAAAGCACATTAGCATTAGTTAAAATAATAATGTGAGTATTTGTAAAAGTGTGTAGGAGAAACAACAGTGGCCACGAAACTTTTAGTTTGGTTTGTCCATTCTAGGCTACTGTAGAAACATGGTGGACTCTATAGAAGGCGACCCACAGTGTCAGCAGATTAAAACCTCAGTCTAAGGTAACATAAACACAATGATTCATATATTCAGGTGATTCTGCACTAATGAAAACATACCTATGAATATTATATTCCATTCCTGCCAATAGATCCTCCTAAATGTTACACACTGGACCTTTAATAGACCAATAATTAACCAAATGAAATGGAAACAGTTGAAAAAGTAATGCATTAATGGTTGAAACGTCCATCTTCTGACAATGGTAGTAAGCAAACTTAACCAAACCAAGATAAACGCTGACAGTTATGTGTGCAAACATACTGAAACAAAAGATCCAGTTTTGATAATAGTGCTTAATAACATCCCATTTAAAGATGAGGGGTTACTCGGGGGTGTGGGGGTATCTCTTTCACTCTGAAGGTGTATGTCACGCAGTGGGTTGACTCAAATAAAACTACCAGCAGTACCTGTTATATCTATGGCCAGATCCTTGATGAGATGTCCAACAATAGCATAGGCAACTCCAACAACCACCAGAGCAGCCATGAGCAGGTACACCACTGCCTTTGGCAGGGCGATGAGTTCCTTCACTGGGGGCTTATACTGCCTGTACAGAGGGTCGTCTATCGACGTTGAATACGGGTACGCTTGTGCTTCATTGGTGGAGTTCAGGCCGGTGAAATTAATGCCATTCATGATGAAGGACTTATTATTCCAACTGGATATGACTTCGTTTTGTTCTTCTCTCTCCTCACTTAGAGCTGGACCGTCCTCCACACATATTCCTCACATGAATGAGCGAGCAGACAAATCCTCTAATTCTGCAAAACAGGAGAAACGTGTCAACAAATTTGAGTTTTCAACACTTTGCATGTCACGTCCAACCTTGCCAACCTTACTTTGAAGCTTTAAATCCATCCAAGCGTTTGAGTGAATAGTTGAGTGAAGTTTACCGGGTTGTTGTTGTTGTTGTTGTTGTTGTTCGGGTCCTCAGCTCAGGAGCGGCTGCCTCCTTCTCTGTCCTTGGTGCTGAAATGAAGTGCTCCCTCTGCCAGCAGTTGTAAGGTGTCGGGTCCGCCCACTTGGACTACTCCTCCATCCAACTCGGCTGCGACTGTGTCCACCTCCAACAGCAGCTTATGTGCCGCTATCGTCCTGCCCTTAATTCCTTCAAGTTACAGAGAAGTCGTCTGGTGGGAAATCAGTCAAGAGCTATTTGTGCTGATCCAAGTTGTCGTTGGGAGATCCCTGATGTATGAGTGCTGAGGTGTGGATGGGTGGAGTGTTATCTCCTTTACAATGCAGTCCACAGACTGTATGTCCTCACTGCCTGATATATAACACAAGAAACAGAAATACCTGGCAGTGAAGGTGATTACCTGTCTCACACACGTGGTCTTAAAGGTTCAAGGGTTAAAAATAGATTTTCGACCAAGCAACTTAACAGCTGAAAATCTTGCTGTTAAATCTTGTTTTTGCTGACCTCCAGTGGTTTAAAGGGGCCCTGTGGAGCTTTATAGTAAACAGACAAAAAGTTATATTTACGTTCAGTGTTTCTCACCAAAACACATTGTGCTTATCCTTGAGTCCTAGAAAACACATTGGATGCAATTCCTTCCTCATAAAGCATTTGACAGGCCTATTGTCTGTCCCGCTTGGTGCATAGACTTTACAATGGGACTCAATTAAACAAAAAATTTATTTATATAGCGCCAAATTAAAACAGGACACTTTTTATATAGAGCAGGTCTAAACTGTACTCCTTCTAAAACTATTAACTTGGCAGCAGTGAAAAGGAAAAACATCCTTTCAAAGGACCAGTGTGTGGAATTTAGTGGCATCTAGTGGTGAAATTGCAGATTGCAACTAACTGAACACCACTCACATCATTATTTGATAACCTGGGAATGAGATCGGAGACAGAGAGACAGAGTACACCATGTACCAATAACAACTATAATAGTAGAAATATGACTAATAATAATGAGTAATAATAACAATAGCATAAGCAATTAGCATCAAGCAGGATCACATCAGCAGGCACAACCACGATTCATTAAACCTGCGAGATGAAAAAGCACAAAAGCTCAGAGGACGATGCGTATTATTTACATGGATTAATAGGATGTACAGATAGAGAGGGAGAGGAGGATTGATATCACATAAAATAACATGCAAATACAAAAACTTAGATTTAAATTCCTACTATGAAAAGTACCCACCTTTTTGTAGTTTTTGCTGTCAAAAGTTTTATAGACTTCTCTTTTATAATGGCGTTCTATGGGGGAAATTGCTTTTTGTACTAAAAGGGATAGTTTTTGTTGCAGTAAAGTGACAAAATGGCAGCCAGCAATTCAGAGTTTGCTCATTTATGTTATATGTATTTGTACGTACCTGATAGGAGGATCTGGCACAGCCCAGAAGCTTCTTGCTGTGAGGCTGACCCTGCCACCACATGCAGGATCAAGATCAACCAGAAAGTTCAAATCATGTCCAAATCATCAGCATCCTCTAAGCCCTTAATTTAAACAGAAGATGTGCCTTAACCTATCCCACAAAGGTCGCACCACTCATACCCATAAATCCCAACTCATAAATCATAATCTTGTATTTTGGTGTAGGCTGAGGATTAGCACATTTGTCCCTGTTAAATGCTTCAACAGATTGTCAGCTGAGAGTGTGAAGTCTAATCACGAGAATGATTCATTTGACACAGTCATAATCCAGATGATTATTTGAGATGAAAAGCTTCCCAATTATCCGAGTTTAGACTGCAATAGCTGCTGCAAACATCTGGGAGATTACAAGGGAACCATCGTGCCAACCTCCATCATCCCCGACTGAAAGGACACAGAACACACAGTCCACTCAGGCTACAATTAGTGACTCACATCTACACAGGCCCCAAGTATGAAACGCCATTGGTCCAAAAAAAAATTTTTTTTAATGCAAAAGCAATTTCCTTATGTAAGCGCCATGTAGAACACGCCTGGGCCACATGTATGGCCAGGGATTTTCCGGTTCTTTAATTCCCCTCCACTTCAAAGAGACAGTGTAGCTGGAGAGGATGGAGATCTTTATCTGTCCACTGGCACTGCCCACATCCCTCAAGCCCCGATGGATTTAAAAAGAAGAGGAGAAAAAAAAAAAACACAGAGATTATCTATTCAGCACTGAAGACATTTTGTGGGGTTCACTTCTCCTCAACTGTCCAAGACATGAAGTGAGGTACAGCTGGAGAGAAAAGGTGTGTAAGTGAGAGATGAAAGGGCATCAACAGAAAAAAGGCCAATATCAAAGAGGGAAATAACAAATAATACAAATATAAATATATATAGATACATATTTTAATCTCACAAAACCCTAACACCTTGTAAGTAACATCTGCGTTTGTGCCATTTTCAGTAACTAAAGCCTATTCTCTACTGAACTCGTGATAATGGTGTGAGTTAATATGAATAGCAGAGGTCAACCTGCGATAGAGTGAGAGAAGGATTAAGAGTAAGTCCTCACACAACTACACAATGGCAGCTGATAAATATATTGTGAAGAGGGAGAAGAAATACAGGTGGAGGTTGCAAAGGTAGTATAACCTCATGGATTGAAAGTACATTTACTAAATTACTGTATTCATGTTTTGAGGTACATGTACTTCAGTTCTTTATACTTTATACTTCTCCTCTACACTAATTCAAAGGAAAATATGGTATGGTAGTCTTATAAAATACGATGCATTGTGATCCTGTACAGCAGCAGTAGTGTCTAGCTGAGGCCCCTTGTCATGTCTGCAACCCCTCATATTTATGTTGTCAACTAATCCTGTATGTAGTTACATATTTTTCCTGCAGGAGTACTGTACTTCTCTTTACTTTCTGTACTTATGTACCAACTTTTGTTATAGTGTGGAAATTATACCTTTTTTTGTGGCAAAGCACATATCAGACACACCATATTGTTCCAAGCAGACTATTTGTACACGTCTTCTTCCACCACAGAGTAAACCGTCTAGTTAAACCTCTTCATTTATTTCAGCAACAGTGCATTTTAAGACAGTGCTCTTATTTGTGGTGTGTGAGTCTTGAATGACAACATGCCCTGTAGATTGGCAGCATATTTACCCCACAAAGAGTAGGAGTTTTTATGTGACTTCATTACACAGCACAAATTAGTGCTACAGTTTCATGGTTATGACTTAATGCTGTGTCTCGTTAAATATAATAAAGCTTCACATGTAACTACTTCCGTTTGGATCAAGAATCGTGACATTTCCACCATGTTGTACTGAGGATGAAGTGACAGAAGGACGTTGTTTACCTCATCAAACTTTGACTTAATTCCCCTGCAGACATCTGGAATATTTGTATAACTTTTATTTAACAACATTGTGGACCATGGCAAACCATGCAAAGTTATGACATCTTAGTGGAAGTGCTACAGGTTCATCACCATGGTGCATGTAACCATAGTAACTGATCTTACCTCTTACACTGACAACGTCTGCATAACAGAATCACATCAAAAACAAAAAAGCTTCACAGGCAATTCCAAACAAGTTGTGGCCATTTATGCTTTGCTTTATAATTACAGTATTAACGTTGCATACATCAGTAACCAGCAGCAAGTCTCACTCAGAACTGTTAATACTTCACCGCAGTAGTGTCCATGAAAGTCTATACAATGAATTTTACTCTGTCTATACAACTGGGAAACAGGCAGGGGAAAAAGAAATCTCTGCTATGGTTTTGTGATTAAGAGTAGAAAAATAGCCCTTTTTAGGTTGAAGACTCAACATCTGAATTAATGACACTTCACAACAGTAAGCAAGTTCAGCAAGAGACTCAAAATGTAGCACTCAAATATATACTCTACAAACCTGAGAGAAAACAAACATTGTTACTACACAGGTAAGAATTCATTAAAATAATCTGAAAACTGCTGAACAGTTGACACGCCTGTTACATTTCTAACAGCAGGGTCCTGTTGGTTTATTTGTCCACGGTGAAGGACTGCAGCCCCGTGATGGCTCTGCCCAGGATCAGGGCATGGATATCATGAGTACCTGGAGGAGGAGGAGGAGGAGGAGGAGACAACCGATAAACAGGTGCAACTTGTGTAGAAGGGACACAGGTGACTACTGGAATAATACACTCTCATAAAACACACGTTCAATTATTGTATCATACACATTGGTATCATTCCACTTATTGTGTGTGCACATGCATGTCTTATGTAGAATTTAAGTCAATTTTAAATTGTTTTCCACGTCCTCACCTTCATATGTGTTGACAGCCTCCAGGTTCATGACGTGGCGGATGATGTGGTACTCGTCTGCGATGCCGTTTCCTCCCAGCATGTCTCTGGCCTGTCTGGCTATGTCAAGGGCTTTACCGCAGCTGTTCCTCTTCAGCATGGATATCATCTCTGGGGCTGCTCTGTTAATAAAACGGCACATTTGTTTTGTATTAGTCTTGGGGACTAAGCCACTGTTGATGCAGACTGAAATGTCTTAACCACTATAGAAAGGGAATTGTGTAATCTGAAACAGTTTATTGACACAGACGTTAGTGATGAAGAGAAACAGTAGTGCCATGTCACATCCCATGTAAAAAAAAAAAACTCCAGTTAGTGGATAAAGTCGTCTTTACTTTTTCTCATCAATGAGTCTTCCCAGTTGCAGACAGGACTGTAGGCCGATGGTGATCTCTGTCAACATGTCGGCCATTTTCTTCTGCATCAGCTGGTTCCTTGCCAGTGGCACACCAAACTGGATTCTGGTAAAGAAAACAACAACATTGTGTTTCCTCATTTTTTTCTCAAAACTGAACAAAAATGTGTGAAATGACTGTAACTTTTTTTCTTTACTGAACTCTTCAAACTTAATGAATGCATTACAAAACACCAAACAGATGGCTGCACTGTGCATGAAAGCTTCGTGAGTGAAAACAACTCTATGACAGCTGACATAAAACAAGAGATCGGATCAATAAAGCTCAACATAGCCGATACTGATCAGTTACAAAAAATGCCTAGAACGGCACCGGAACCGATCGTTGAGATCGGATCGAGACACCCCTAAAAGATACTGACCTGTCGAGTGTGTACTGTCGGGCTGCGTGGAAACAGAACTCTGCAGCACCCAAAGCGCCCCATGCAATACCATAACGAGCGTTGTTCAAGCAGCCAAAAGGACCCTGGAAGCAGCAAAAGGAGTGTGATGAGCAATTACTGCAGTGTGTTGTGTTTCCTGAGCCACACTATAATTTGAAGCTAAATACCTATTAGAAACTGTACAATAATGTCACAAAAGGTGTTCAGTTATTTAAGTTCCTTCCACAAACACATTACTACATATAGACTATTCAGGGTTTCCACTCACCCCAAGGCCGGTGGCGTTAGGCAGCAGGTTCTCCTCGGGAACCTCCACCTCATCCATGAGGATCATACCAGTGGCGGAGGCTCTCAGGGAGAACTTTCCCTCAATCTTTGGTGTTGAGAGGCCCTTCATGCCACGCTCCAAGATGAAGCCACGGATCTTCCCGTCGTCACATTTGGCCCAGACTACGGCGACATCTGCCACTGGAGAGTTCGTAATCCTGAAGGTGGAAGCACAGGGAGTGTTGAGGAGATGTCTCTATGTATGCACTGGTAGGCCTGATTTTTTTCTATAAAAAGTAAATATAGATTTTAACTATGCAGTATGACTGGAACACTGAGCTGAGGGACCTGAATTTACCAACTTCAGCAGATGTACTGTACTGTTAATATTACTTTTGTCTTAAACCTATAGCATCACAGACTTATTTATTGGCATAAAACATAAAAAACAAAAAAGGGACACAGCTTCATTCATCAAATGTGACACTAGTTAACACGAAAAAAAAAAGGCAACCCTTTTTGTGAGTTTCATCTAGTACCTTAAATGTGAACAGCACCACCATGTGGACAACTAATGACACACACAGACACAAAAGACTTTTCCTTGAAAACAGACATGTTACACAAAAACAATATATTAGATGAAGGAAAAAAATATATATATATATAAAACCAAGGAAACATCTGTCAGTGGCTGTTGTGCCTTCATTATTCAGGTGAGACATTCTGGACTCGCACTGCTAATAGTTTTCTCTATTTTTGATGACACTGTTTTGCTGCCTTGAAGTAGCCCTTCTTAGCTAACGGTAATCTGGGCACACACATTTATGATCTTGCAGTAATGTGTAATAAATATCCTGATTTATAACCCCACATGCCTTTTCTTAAAGTCAAATGTTAAAAACGCTAAATTTATGCTATATATCCTGTTGAGCTGTGTACTTAAATTATCCCAAATGTTTCCAACAAGGTTCCAAACCCAAGAAATCTGTAATTCTATTCAGGTAACGCTGCATTTCCCATTCTTTTCTAGTTGCTATAACTTCCAGGTAACACAGCAGAGATTGATGAAGAAAGTCGGCGAACATGACAAAAAGTAAACAAATAAAACTTTAATTTACAGAGAACATGATTTCTGCCTGAGTCATCACAGCAATGGTGGTTATTTAACAATGAAGAAAACAACTCCCACCATCCCACACTACTTCACAACCTCATTAAACTACATCTTTTGTTACTGTTTTAATGTGAGGGACCGCCTAGCAGCAGAAATTACTAACAGAAAACCAGGGGGGGAAAAGCATCTCACTGGTATATAATATATTTTATATTGCTTCCTTTAATCAGAAAACATCAGAGAGTAATGTAATAAGTAAAACTACACAGTGTTAACCCTGCAGTAACTCTTTATTGTTGCTGAGAATTTTACTTGAAATCCCAACTTGAGGTCTTGACATTAGAGAAAAGTTTTTATTCCACAACAGTTGAATCCTCCAGAGAGATAGTTGAAGGAACGGTGTTATTGTCACTACTCACCAGGTCTTTGAGCCAGTGAGAGTGTAGGTGCGACTGGATGGATTGTATTTGGCTCTGGTTTCCATGCTGCTGGGGTCACTGCCATGGTTAGGCTCCGTCAAACCAAAGCAACCCAGGATCTCTCCACGAGCTGGGAGTGACAGAGGGGAATAAATCACTCATCACTGGGTTTGTATGGTTAAATGCATTCATATTCGACAACAGATTGGCACAAAATCATCAGTGTGAACCATTTGAAATGTTATTGTTGATAGATAAACTGACTGACAATAGACTGTTGATTCTTACCCAGCTTGGGGAGGTACTTCTGTTTCTGCTCCTCTGTGCCATAGGCATTAATGGGGTGCATGACCAGTGACGACTGCACACTCATGACTGAGCGATAGCCACTGTCCACTCTCTCTACTTCTCTGGCAATCAAACCATAGGCCACATAGCTCGTCCCTGCACAGCCATAACCTTTGTACAAACACAGGAAGAAAAGTTACTGTCAGTGTTATTAAAAATAGAAAGTAAAGCATTTAATGAATGAATGTTAACAAATTAAGGAAGGGTTAATGGGCTCAAACTTTCACAGATGCACACAAGATTTCTTTAAAAACAAACACACACAGGTCCAGTGGGCACATGGTCGAAGTCCATTCCAGACAGTTGTTTGTGTGAAATAAATTTGGCTGTTTTACAATAAAAGTATTGTGAAAGGTTACAGTTCACAATAAAATGCTGCAATAAATGCTGTGTTCCCGTCTGTTTAGGTCAGCAAAAAATTAAAGGGTATATACCGTATGTGGCAATTGCTCTTTAACACACATGCAGTGAGTAGTCAGACTGTCAAATCAAGTAGACTTGTTTACCGTTAATGGTTGGGCCCAGGACACCCATCTCTCCCATCTCTGACACAATTTCTCTGTGGAACACTGAAAAAAATAAAAAGACACAACCAGCTGTCACATGTGATTAAGTTCGAGTTACATTGCTTCATTTCTACTGAGAATATGTCAACAAACTAAATGGCGAAACTGCAGCACACATTACACACTATGAGATCTTGTTAAGAATCTGTGTTTAGCATATAGATATTATGTATGCAAATGAAGGCAACATGGGGGGGGGGGAAGAGTCTCTCACCTTCATTTCTGTTTGCCATAATGATGCGAGGCATGAGTTTCTCCTGGCAGTACGTCCGGAAGGAGTCTCTGATCATGATCTCGTCTTCCGTCAGCTGGCCCTCCAGGTCCAGGGCATCGAGCCAGTTGAACTGGACCTTAGCTGCCAGTAGAGGAGCAGTACAAATACCTTAAATCCTTAAAACTTAAAAATACATTCTGTCAAGAGCTTCAAATTCAAGTCAGTCTATAACAGATTTCAGAAATAAAGAGCTATTTAGACCTACGCGCTTTAGACTTCTGCACGGTTTTCTCTGCATCTATGGAAAATTCAAACCAGAAAAATGATTAATATTGTGCAAGAAATTAAAACATTTGTTTTGTGACTAACTTCTAAAAATGTAATTTGGTTCGAAAATAATTACATTTGTTTTAAACTGAAATTACAGACTTCACTGTGTCAAATTCAGCTTCAAATCAAATGCTATCATGGTCCCCCTTGTGGATGGGTGTTAATGCTTTAAACCTCTGCAAATGAGCTGCAAGCTGCAGCCGTGGCTGATGGACTGTCTCTTTAAACACTGTTACCTCTGTGGCTGGCATGGGGTCATAACACTTACCCCATCTGGCAGGTGCTGCGGTTCCCTGTGCCCTGCAAGCTGAGACGATGGCACATCTCTGAGGGTTGACCAAGAGACGGCACACAGCGCCTCTCAATGCCATGCTGGAGATTGCTCTAGAAAATAAACATTTTGTAAATCTGAATTCATTAAACTGGTAACTTAAAAAGCTCTTATTAAACTGTCAACCATGTAGCTTGCAGAGAAAGTTATGGCAATAACTTTCACAACTTCCTAAACTGAGAACATCAAGAGCTGAACTGATGATGCCATTAGAAGAAGTCTATCGACTCCAGGGACCCTAACCTTTAATGTAACACTAGCTGCAGTAGCTAGCTGTCAGTGTAACTTACAGTATAATGTTATTAACTGCTGTTTAATGCTCACTAATCAATGTCAAACTGTTCACTGTAATGTCTCACTAAGATCGGGTATGTAGCCATGCTAAGATACCTCAGCTAACCTATGTGGCCTTAGGTAACTTCACTGTAGCGACAAAGCTAACTGCGCTAGCTAACGACAGCTCGCCAGTGACTTTAGTAATAGACTTTGTGTGACCATGGCAACAGTGTAGCTACTATATGAGCGCTATGTGTTAAGAGTAAAGGTAAAACCCCACAGTGACAGGTGTATACGGAGCATTTACCTGAGTTAGGGGGCACAACAACCCGTGTCTTTTCCCTTTTCTGCCTCTCAGGTTGACAGCGAAGCGACACTGGACGTCAACAAAACCTGACGTCATTACGCAACGCTGCGTCTGCCATATTGAGTGTGGCGTCCCAGTTGAACCATGTGCCTGGTATTAAACTGTGGCCCGCTACTGTCGTGCAGAGTTAATCGTTTTGTCTATGTGCAGCCAGTACCGAGAACATCTGAAACTAAGACATGAACATATGAATGAAGTCTGTGTTTGTGGCCAGAGATCATCACTGAAGATGGCTGCCTTTAGAGGATACTTCAGCTGCTGCAAACGACTCTGATTGGCTCAAAAGCAGAGGCGTGAATGTTGGAGGAGTGGATATGTGTAGCTATAGTTATAGTTCCCTTCCCAGAATAAAACAAGCACCCCAGTTCCGAGGAGGCATGACAGTAGCTGCCAATTTCCCAGCAGGCCCAGCCTCCAAGTCCTGACAGCAGATACAATCAGCACTTCAGTGATATCTGCTGGATGATGACCTACAGATTCTTTAGATTTGTCATCAGAGATACTTGGGAACAGGATGTCTGTCTGTCTGTCTGAGAGTTTCTTTTCATTCAAAAACACTGCTTGCAAGAGGGCATTAAGTTTCAAGTTTTAATGCAAGTATTGACATAACCGTACCGTAAAAGCTTTTTATTCAATAAAATAAAGATCCATAATGGCTTGATTGTGAAAAGAATAATATCAATTTTACAGCAGCCACCCTTTATAAGCTATAAAATAAAATAAATAAATAAAAGTTACATTAAAAAAATTTTAATAAATAAAAAAAAGATTTTCTTTCTAATTACATTTCAGAAATCTTTTACATTTTACCCCATTTTATCCACCTGACAGCTCAGTTACTATTAACTTTGTTCATCAGGATTTTTAAAACCTATAATGAACGTACATTAAACGCTAAATACATGTAATTGCAATATTAATCCAATATACTATAATATTTAATAATGCAACTCTGACAAAAGGTTGCCTGCGTAGTGAGTACTTTTGTACATTTTGCATACTCTTAATACAATTTTGAACTGTGCTTGTAATTAAGTGTCTTTGCAGAGTGGCTACTTTTATGCATCTGAATACTCGTATTATGTACTGCCCTTGTCTGACCCGTCCACTGCCTTTTGATCAGGTTTGAACTTTTGCATTTTATAAATCTAAAGAATATATTAGCAGCCCATTCATGGAGTTTTTTTTTTTATAAATTCAGATGCAACTATAAACATTTCACACTTTTGGTCACAGTCATTGTATCCACGACAATAAATAAAATACATTTACTCTGCTATATTGATTTGACAGTGGTAGTTACTTTGCAGATTTAGCATATGGCCAACATAATACATTACAATATCCAACAGGCTGTGTTAAAATTAGCTCCATCTGTACCAGCTCAAACATGTAGCTTACATGTTCAAGGGGCACTTCCATAAAGTTAGGGGACTAACTTTTAACAAATAATAGTCAAAATCAAAGCATCAGAATCAGAGATATCCTGACTTTTACCCTCAAAAACCCTGGATGCTACATTTACAATATTGCAGCCCAAAGTCTTCTTTGCTACACGCTCACTGCCAGGTAAATGCCCATGTTTTTCAAACTCTGTTACCCAAATTTGTAACACAGACTCCCTGTTAAGAATTTATTGTCTCCAAGCCCATGCTGCAATAACCCTGATAACATCATCTTGTTTCTTTTTAGACTGTGGAAAGCTTCCTTCAGAGCCACAGAAGACACTGTTTGAGTAAACTGAACTTATAATACGTATATATAAAACTTACTTATAATATTGGAGGATTGCCCCGTTAATCCTACTATAATACAGGCCAACCCATGCACTACATTATATGTCGTTAAGCAGTGGATGATTCTACCTTAAAATTTAAGCACATTATAATACCTTTATATTGTTATTTTTACATTTCCATGTAATGGAGTACTTTTACATTGGTAGTATTTTTTATTGACTAAATTAAGATCTTTATACCTCTTCCACCTCTGCAGCCTGCCAGGAGCTGCCGTGACTCACAGAGTGCAGAGTCAGATCAGGCTATGTGAGGCCTGAAGGTTGAATTATGAATGAATAGATTGGTTTTATAATTAATGTTGTCTTGAATTTCATCAGGCCCATAGAAGTTATGTTGTGCCATCGATTGGCTGCATCACTCTTTGCTGATGAAGACACATTTTCATTGTGAATGAGTAATGATGGACAAACACAAGTGAAGTATGTTTTATTAATATTAATTGTATTTTGGGGCATTGCCATAGCTTATTAGACGGTAACAGCCGCTCATTGGACAGCTGCGGGTGTCTCAGTTAACGGTACTAGAAAACATGCCCGTCTCCAGGACTAAACTCCCGCCCCTCGCTCGGTGATTGGTCCAGCGCCTTGTCTATCACGTTCTCCCGCGTTTTGATTGGTCAGCGCTCTCCTCTGAGCATTCTCCCTTTAAATGTTAGCAGGACAGTTTTTGGAGCGGATTTTTTTCTACCCTGAAGTCCTGAAGTTGACAGAAGCGTCCCACGAAGACATCTGTGAAGCCTGGAAATATGCTCTAGTGGCCGTCTGTGAGCACCTTTAGCCCAGAGGAAACACTTCGTGAACATGGAACTGGAGGAGCAACCGAAATATGGTAATTATTTAAAGTCTAACACGGGCATGTTTCACTTGATGTTGTGCTTGGGATAGCTGCCTTACATCTATAAACCTAGGTTAGCTGGTTTTGTCTTGTCGCAAGACGTGTCGTCTCTGTGTTAGCGCGAATAGTTCTTGAAACAAGGATTTATATTAATACGTTTGTTGTGTTTTTTTTTTTATTATATTATATTATTATTTTATTGTCGCACCAGTGGACCACTTTCTCTCTGAACTTAAAGCATATGGCAGCCTAAATATTAGCTTGTACCTACAGAGACAGAAAGTTGTTGTTTTTCCTGTCATGTTTGCACTAGTCGAGTTGTGTGTAAATAAACTGGTGGTAACAGACTGCCTCGTGTGTTGTTCAGGCTTTACAATGTCCCAATGTATCTCCTGCTTGTCCAGTTGCCACATTCCTCAGGCTGGTATGGCAGCAGGCAGGAGCTCAGCTGAGGTCCAGCTATGTATAGAGCTTATTAGAAAATACCTCAAACTCATAAAGAGGAGTCTGCATTTGTCTCTCTTGGTAGTGCAATATTTTTTTTTTTTTTTTAGAAATATGCTCTGGTTCTCACAGGCTACATGTTTCCATTTCAATATGTTGTTCAATATCCATTTAGTTGCTTTGGATTGCCACTGTGTATTTCCTCTGTTAGTGACACACCTTGTTGTAGGCTAGGTGTGATATACAGCTCTTTGTTAATCTTTCAGGGCAACTAAGCTAAAAAACAATTCACACGAATGAAAAAAGGCTGTTTAGGCCTCATTCTGGATCAATGTCTTTAGTACACAATTATAAATTAAATGAACTATGAACATGTTTAGCGTCAGCAGGATGTTGACAAGTAGGAATAAATAAACAATATGAGGCACATCTTCTGTCCACTGGCTTTCGTGATGTGGCTCTTATCATAATGCTTTCTTCCTCTTCTCTGCACACACCCTTTTCCACTCTGCCCCACCACATGATGGCTAATTCACTCACATTACCAACCCTTCACGGCAGCCAGCACATAGCAGCATACTTTATGTGCTTGTTTGTGAATCGAAATACTTAAGAGTTTGCCAAGGAATCGAGCAGTTCCACACGTTTAATTGGCAGAAACAGAGGAGGAACATAATTGCATTTGGACCGTTGGGAGAAGATGGTTGTGGCTTCGTTTTTTCGTTTGAGATAGCAACCGTTAGAAACTTGAAGTGCAACACACGTTAAAGTTGCTCAGTGAGACTTGAGACTTTCTGCAAAAAATCTAATCTAAACATGGGAGAAACTTTCAGAGCACACTGTAGGGTCCACCACGCTTCCCCATGTTGGAGTAATTTCAGGCTAACGTATATCAAGAAACCTCAATGACAGGATTGGAAGCAGCCATGCAGCCATGCCCTGGTACAGATTAGGTGTAATTATAAGCCATATTTAGGAGAGGAGGTTTGAAACCCGATGCCGAGCTTTTCTGGCCTTTCTTTCATGTCTGTGGCAGTATGTTAAAGCTTCTCTGAGCTACGTTTGCAGATTTGTTTCATTTGTTTTTTAGTTCCTGTACTTTACATTGTTTCCTCCCCACTACTAACAAACATCTCCGACATTGCAGCCACCGGCTTCCACTTAAATGTGCTTCATCATACCCCAACAACCCAAACCCGATCATGTGACTCTTCTGACTGTCCAGTGGTTCTGCCAACTGGTCTACAGTCTGAAACACAAAGGCATGTTCAGAGCAGTGGGAGACCGGTTGGTTTTTTAGGTCAGGGGAAAATTAGTTTGGGGACAAGAAGAGATGGACATGCAGAGCAGTTTGGATGTGGAAGCGGGACCACCCTACTGAGCTAGCTTCTGTGTTTATCAGCTTTCTTCTGCCAGTACCTGCGTTTATGATCTTGGCTGAGCTTGCTGACCCTCCTCATTGATGAGGAATGTGTCTCTTTGTTAATAGGAACGCAACAAAATATTTGGAACGTCAACAGCTACTAGTTATTATCCTCACGTGTTCGTTGAAATTTGTCTTATACTGAAGTCAGGACAGTGCATTTTGTATCTAAGGAGTGTGGTCCTACAAATAGAAAACTTATTCTATAAAATATCTTTTGTGTTTGCTTCCTGTTTGTGTCCGTAAAGTGTTTCTAATTATATCCACTTCCTACATGGATGAATTGACTTGGTTTCACTTTCTGTCATCTGTGTCGGAGTAACAGAAATATCTTCACTGAGTGCAACAGCAGAGATAAGGAGTTGATTCACTGTGAGTTTCATTTCACTGTTGTGAGGTCAGTGTTGTGTGAAAGTATAGCGTGTCCACATGTCCACTCTTTTAGAAGCTAGGAAACATTTTTGTTGTTTGACTTCGAGATATTATGAGACAGACGCACCAAATCTCCTTGTAAGGATACAACATTGTACTGTGTATATATACTGTAAGTTTGTGTGTGATTGTGGTGCCGGTTCTTTTTTAACACTGTAAATAGATCTGAACTTGGACTCTACACCCTCTTACTGTAATGAAAGACATGTGGGAGATAAGCAGGCAGGGCAGCAGCTGTAGCCTAAATGGTTTAAGAGTCTGACTGCTGTATTATCTGGCTATGATATCACAGCCCTTTATTTATAGCTCTTGGTTTTCTAGAATTATTGTTACTTATTACTAACTTTCTTATTTCAGCCATTTATTCAACCTTTACTTTAGTCTCTAGTTTAGTTACTAAACCTGGTTCTAACAGTAATATGCCAGAGTCTTCTTCATCATTAATTGCTGCAGTGCAGCGCAGAAATGTCTAAATGTGAGTCATCGTTAATGTTATTATCAATGTTCCATTTGATAATAACTACTTAGCTAGTTTTCTCTGATCTTGTATTGTTGCCAGTTAATTAAGAGTACAATTCATTTTACGTGTCTGTAAATGGGATCGTGACAAAGAGTGTTCTAGATACTGCACATATGTGCTGTACAGCTAACAGAGGACACTCACGGCAGACATTTTGAGTCATAGCAGGAAACGCTCAGGTGTTACCAGTAACAACACAATGAGTCAGCATGCACGATGCAATCATTTATTTAATTATTTAGAGCCTACCAGTTTTCATGTAGGATGTGAAGGGCGGTGGCAAGAAAATAAAGCAGGAAAACCCACACTGACACATGAAACAATGTCGTAAGAAAACACTGTCTTTCAGGAAGAAACATAAGAGGAAACAATGCAACACACAAAGCTTGGCTTCAGTTTCATTTTTTACTTTGTTTCTGTTAAAACACAACATAAACTAACATAACCCAGGTATTATTTGACTGTTTATGTGTTCCCAGAAAGTTTCTCTTTCTTTCTAACAGTGGTTAATTGTTAAATGATAAACACCCTAACACAGTTAATAGATACATTAATACTGTATTTATAATAAAAACACACAAAAGCACAGTGCAAATGCAGATAATTTCTCTGTAAATGGGTTCCCTTGTAAAGACTCGTGAGAAAAACTGTTCATAATTAAATCAAAGCTCTTACACATGTGGCTTCATTTGTATGTTTTTAATGATTTTAATGTATGCCCAAGGGTTGTCTAGTGGCACAGTGGTGGTTCATTGGAATTTGATTAAACATGTAGCAAATTACCAATACAAACATTAATTTAGTTTAGTTTAAGAAACCAGACTGGTGGGTTTAACTCACACTAGCTGTCTGCCAGTCCGAGTTAAAGGTCCAGGATTACTTGCGCATGACCTTTAGCATCAGCCGCCACAATTGAACAGTGAAAGGACAATAGATGGAATAAGAACTATCGTAGTGTTGTTGTCTGCTGTGTGTCATGTGTGGTATCATCATCCAAGAAATTAAAATTCCCCAGAAACATTTTTTTATTTTGTTATGGAAATTGCAGCACAGCCAGGACTCCTGATGAGAGTTCCCATGTGCACTGACACTGGCCATAAAATAAGAACAGAATGGAAACTTTCAGTCATTCTAGCTGAATTTTCTCTTTCTGTCAGCATCTGTAAATAACATTTGTGGCATTTAGTCCTTCTGGGGACTCTTTGTAACTCAACTCGTTCTCTGATTGCTTTTGGCTGCTCAATACAGAACAGAGAGTGAGCCAAAATGTCCAGTGAATGAAAGCACGCAAACGGAAAGCAGAAAAAAAAGGGCGCTAAAAAGATTTGTTTTTTTTCTCATTCACTCCCAGTGCAATACTGCAATGTCCCCACAAGATGGGAGACATTTGAGTACATCCGATATGAACTCCACAAGGCAGTTAAATGGAAAGTATTCACAAACTTATTGACTTTTTGAGCTTCATATTGGGTTCAACTGCATTCAACTCACTGCAGGATATGGTATTTGCAGAGTATCTTGCACATCTGAATCCAATATCGTTCCTCTTCCACAGCAGATACATAAAACACAACAGGAGGTGGAGTTTGTCCTTGTTTACTCCAAACACATGTTTTTGATAAGATCTAAGCAACTTGACTCCTCCTTGTATACAACAGCAGTCCCCACCCTGTCCTTCGCATGTCCACACACCTCTTCTCTTTCACTCGCAGCCTTCCTGTAGGTTTGTTTCATTTGCCCGTTTGGATAGCTTTTTCTGAGACAGAAACAAAGTGGAAAAGCCGACGGAAAGAGGGCTTTTGAAAGTGGGAGGAGACAGGGAGATGCACAGGTGGGGCCCAGATTGGAAAGAGGCAGTTGTTTCAGGATAAACACAGAAGGGAAGTGAGGTGGAGCGCTGCTGGTTGCCAAGGCTCACTGCTATTCAGGGACAGGTTGGACTGGTTTCTCCCTCTACAGTTCTGTTTCCCCCGCTCTCTCTCATTTATACCAGCAGATAGAGAGGAGGAAGTCCACAAGATAAAGGGGCACATGTAAAAGGGTTCTCTGTACATTTCAACATTTGGCCCACAAAGGACTTTCAACATGCCTGAGGATGGAGAATATTTTGGAAAGAATGGTAATTGCTCTTTTTGCTCTAGTTTGACATTGATTCACAGCTTCTTCTTTTTTTCATTCTGTACCCACCTAAAACAAATGACCCAGAGGAGTATTGGTTAATATTTAGGCTTTTCTTTTCTCACCGCTTAAAAAGTGTGTAAATTGTTTGAGTGAAACTGGAGTGGCAGTATCAGCATGTCAACAGCGCGGGGGAAGAATAGGTGTGTTTGTGTGGAACGTGCTAACTTCTGGCAGCCTTGCTGATTATACAGGTGTGTGTCTGAGAGCCAGGAGCTCTTTTATCAGTCATTTTCTCTTAAACAAATATTAAAGGCTGGGAAATTTGCACCAGCCAAATGCTGGTAAAATGTGAAAGTGGCTGGTAGGTTTTAGACAGAAAATAAGGATTAACTATTAAGTGGCTGGTTGGAGAATTTAAACATTTTTCTGTCAGTGGCAGCTAGATGTTTTTAAATGTTAAACTGAATAAATGCTTCATTAAGTCTCTGGTTCCTCTGGTACACATTGAGTTAACAAGGCCTCCCTTTGCTTTGCTGAGTCTGTAATAGATTTCTTTACTTGTGTATTTATGTCTATCTGTGAAAATGTCAAAAAAGCCCAAAAAACTAGCATCTCAGAGGACAATACTAACATCACACCACATATATGAAATGCAACACCTGTGGTCTTTCGAACAGGAAGTGGAGGCTCCTCTAAGAGCTCGTCTGGTAAATGCTTGCTGCAGCGTTATCCTCTGGACCACATACATAATTAATATGCAAAGATGCCACAGAGAATATCATACTCCTCTGTGTAGACTCTAAGGGATCCAATGCTACATATGTACATATACATGCTGTGGCACTATGGGATTAATGTTAGTTCTTTGAGAGATTTAAAGCATGAACAAGGCAACCATGAGGTCGAACTATTGATGATTTTTCAATATAAAAGCATTATTTTGTGTTTAGCGTGGTGTGCGGCTCGCAAATTTATGACTTTTGTTGAGTGCTTTGTATTTGCTCAATGTGGCACATTTCTTTCTTATTTCACTTACCTGAGTGAAACTAATGTTCCCTGATGAATGTTAGACTAGGGCTCTTAGGCTAGAGATAAATTTGCTTCGATAATGGACGCTCTGCTTCCTGCTTCCGACATGCTGACCTCAGTTAACCTGCAGCAAACTTAACTATACGCCTGAGCCTGCAATAATTATAAGAACCTACAGACCATCAGTTGATTGCTCAGAAATTAGATTACATCTTAAATGACCCCAAGGTTTGGTTGCCCTAATACTGAAGCCTTGTGCAGATGTTTCAGCTTCATGCATCGTAATCCCATGGATGCTCCGGGGATTATTAAACAAATTTGTTCAGACAGGAAACGTTGCTTCTGACAGTGCTTTTGGTGGAAGTCTAGTTATTAACACAACCAAAATAACATAATTCATTACAGAAAAACAAAACTGACACCATCTCTGTTGTAAATCTTGCATCAACATGATATTACTGTACTGCAATAAATTATTTGGTAGTTTTATCCAGGGGCTGAAGTTGTGTTAGCTCTATCTTTCACATGGGTTTGCTTCTGCTTAGTCACCAGGGAGGAATTTGTTGGGTTGCCAGGCGTGTCTGCTGGGAGGGAAAGGTCATCTGACAGAAGAATGGGAGGACGGGGGCGTACTCTTTCTTAACCTTAAATCTCCTTTAAAAAGAAGTCTGGGTGCAAGGTGCATCTCTGTTTTTAATGTGTATCTTACACACACAGTTGCAGACCTCTCTCTGAGCAGTGCTTTCAGTAGTCACAAAGCTAACTGAGTGATAAACGCACTGTTTTTCTTCTACGTAGGCGAGCCAAGAAAGTATGACCCGACCTTTAAGGGCCCGATCCAGAACAGGTGAGCTGTGACTGTAGTTCTAACTTTTACTGTGTGTAAGTGAATACAGAGAGTTTCTTTCAACCCTTTAAATGTTGTTCTGTCCATTCTAGGGGCTGCACAGATATTGTGTGCTGCATCCTCTTCATTCTGGCCATACTGGGTTATATTGCAGTGGGAATACTCGGTAAGGAAACAGCACTGCGGTTTGCTTAACATATAAAAATACATTTTAAAACCTACCTATAAAAAACACAAAAAAAACGTAAACTTTTACTTTCTATTTTTTGTTTCCAGCCTGGTCCCAGGGCGACCCTAGGAAGGTGATCTATCCCACAGACAGCCGAGGGCAGTTCTGTGGGCAGGCTGGCACCCCGCTTGAGTGAGTTGCTTTCCAAAAATAGATTATAATTATGATTCTCCCTGCTTCTCTGCTGAGACATTTCTTCTAACTTTAAGAACATGCATACAGTGAGGGGCAGAAGTGAGCTTCAAAGCATCAAATCTCCATCAACATTACAACGTTCTTGAAGATTTTCCTACATGCCCGTTTCCTTTGTATGTATTTTATAACAGGAAGAAGCCACTGTTGTTCTACTTCAACATCATGAAATGTGCCAGCCCCATGGTGCTTCTGGAGTTCCAGTGTCCGACCACACAGGTGTGAACTCAACTTTTCTTTCATCGTGTATTCTTCTCTGGTGGCGCAAAACACATTTTTTTTTTTTTTTAATCAGCATTCACAAATCTTTCCCAGCTGTGAGCCGTTCCTCCATTTCCTGTATACATTGCTCTGTGGGAGAAAAATGTTGCACTGTAGCACACTCAAAAGTGCTTTTTAGTCTCAGTTCTGACTGTTTTGAGTTAAATTTATTGTCACTTTCCCTGTTTGAACACACTACAAACTTAATGTGGTATGAATTTGGGACGCTGCTATTGCTTTTGTTTTCTGCTTTTATCACCATTGTCTGAAAAATAGTTTGTACTTGTACCCTACTGTGCTACATTTTGTATCCAAAATCATGACCAGGGAATGCATTCCCTGCACTCATTGTAACTGTGTCCCACTGTAAATGTTGCTTCCTCTTTTTTCAGATGTGTGTGGAGAAGTGCCCCGAAAAGTTCATGACATTAGTCAAAGCCTACAGCAACAAAAATGACTTTGACTACTATAAGCAATTCTGCAAGGAAGGCGTGACCAATACTATGGTAAGTTTAGAGTCTAAGCCTCCATGGATGCTTCTTTCTTTGTGCACAATCTGTTATGTTAAAGGTTTCCACAAACCTCCTTATGTGGATATACTGTGTTTCAGGGTATACCACAAATCCTCAAGTTAGGTCTCTGTCCTGCAATGCTGACCCCCAGCAGGCCCTGTAAGATGAATCTCTATCTATCATCATCAGCAAAATATATATATCTAATATTTTATATCACATTTTGTAGAGCCAGTGCAAATCTGGAAAGTTTTGGTGTATAAAAATGTATTTTGTCAAATTGACGAGCCTCCTTTTTAAATGTTTGCTGTTTTCTTTACTTTCCCCTCAGTTACTCGGAGGTGTTTCCCAGCTTTGGGACAGGAAGGAGGGGTGATAACTGTGGGAAATAACTCTAAATTTGATGATGGAAACGGAAACATCAGAGATGCTAAGGACCTTGTGGACGGAGTAAAGTGAGTGTGTGTGGTGTGTGTAATGCCGTTCTGTCACGGTTTGAAAATAGCTGTAGCCTAGCCTGTCCCAACCTGCCACCATTTTACAAATAGTCCCTGATGAGGAATTCTACAATGCCTAAACAGATAAACACACAGGATTCTCCCCGCAGGAATGCCACTTTGGTTATTGAGGCTCGTCAGGTGGTCATGAAAATCTTCGAGGATTACACGCAGTCCTGGTACTGGATCCTGATGTAAGTCATTTGCCTACATTTGTAAATCTGCTTCCTGCTTCTTTTTTAACTTTGATCCAATTTTAACTGTAAAGAGAGAAACATCAGCTGGTTTCACTCACTCACTCACTCACTCACTCCATCTCTGTGCTTACCTCCCCTCCTCCCCTCCTCCCACCATCAACTCTCTCCAGTGGGTTGGTTATTGCTATGCTCACCAGCCTGCTCTTCATTGTCCTCCTGCGCTTCCTGGCAGGGATCATGGTCTGGGTCATGATCGTCATGGTGATACTGGTTATAGGATATGGTAAGGGCCAAATCTTTGTCATACTCGCCTCTAAATAGTCCAGCACTCCAGGGGGCCTGTTTCAGAAAGCAGGTTTAAGAAAGTCTGAAAGAAAACTTGGTTTCCACAACAGGTAAAATAAACAGAGTTACTCTGATGCGGTGTCCCAATTCCATACTACACACTGATTACATACAGTTGGTATAGAGTAAAAAATGAACATATTTTACTGTTATAAAGGAGATAACACAATATATCTGGTCAGACTTTATAATGCTTAAACCTCACAGACAGTAAAATTTAATAGAGATGTTCCTAGAGCTTACTGTAAAACACAATTGGATATTTCACAGAGAGCAGCTCCTCCATTTCCTTTTGTGGGAGAATATTCCATCAACAGCAGACTCAACAATAAGAGTTATTTAGTATCCATACTAACAGTTCTGAGTATACTTCAGTGTGAACTCACTACAAACTCACAACCTGCTTAGATGAATTGATACACTTGGTAGAGTGATATTGGGACACATCTTGAGAAGTAAAGCCATCACCAATGGAGCTCCTATAATAAGATTCACCATGGCAACAGGTGAATAAAGAGCAGAGTCGTCATTTTAATCCAGTGGAGCTAGAGATATTAATGTGTACGCATGTTCATTTATCTTCTAAAAAGTAAAAGTTTTGACACTTTTATTTAGCATTGTCCACTTATTCATTGTCAACCACATTTCTTTTAGACCGAGAACAAAACCGACTTTGACTTTTTTTATATTTCATCTTTGCTGGCAGATAAAAAAAAAAAAAAAAATCTACTTTACAACTTTCAAACAGCCTAATAGTCCAACCAGATAATGATGAAGATTTGCTGTTGAAAAGTTACCTGGTTAGATCTATTTTACATATAAATAATTATTTAAAAACATTTAGTGACTATATTTAATTCAATGTTGTTAAAAACCAAAAAGACTACATGCACTTCTTTATTGAACACATTGTCCCATTTCATGTTCATTTAGTCCATTTTTAAAATCTTTAGCTCCACCACAGAATTGCTCTCACATAAATATTCACATAATCTCCAATATGATCAGACTATGAAAGGAAATTTCCATCAGTGTGACAAATCACAACATGAATATGAGGTGATTACTCATTGACCAGTGTCGGAAATATATAAATCTTCACACAGAATCATTTCTTATTTTGACATACAGTAGATTACCACAGAAATGTACAACAAACATTAAAAACCCAACCTGACAGTTACTGTGTTAATGTGTCACAATGTTAAAGAAAACCAACATATTCTCAGCTATGACTGAATTCACAATGTGTACGCTAATATTTGACCGAAAGTTTTAAAATCCATTAATCCGTAATTGTGCTTTCATGTCAGAATCAAGTCGTAGTGAACGGTAACATATGTTGCTTTTGTCTGAATGGGGGGGAAAAATCACAGAAAAATGAGTCTCGTGATTTTATTCCATGTAAGCTTTCAAAGTAAAGAGAGTCCTTGGGAATTATTCAATTATCTTTATTTTCTAATAATTTCGGCACATTATTGAGCTTTAATATGAACTGGATGTTAGACAACTCCTTCAGGCTCAGCAGGAGGGGAGGAGACAGAGAAACTCAGGGTTTGTTGAAAAGGTTACAGGTCACTGTAGGTCACCAGAGATAAAGTGACTTATGTGTCTGGAACTCCCTCAACTCACGGTTAACAAACTCAATAGTTTTAACTAAACCTGCTTTCTGGAAAATACCCCTGTATTCTTTCAGACCCAGAAGAGAAACACCAGATATTCATACTCTTTTATTTTCCCATTAGATGATTTTTATGATTTTATATTTTTTTGTTTCTGTTTTGTTGCACACTGCTTCAACAAAACACCCAGTTACCCACTATTACCATGCCATGTATTTGCTGTCGCTGTGTAGGTATCGTCCACTGCTACATGGAGTATGCTGCCCTGAAAGGAGAACCAGGCGCTGATGTGACTCTACAGCAACTGGGCTTCCAGACAGACTTCACAGTCTACCTGCAGATCAGACAGACCTGGCTAGCCTTCAGTTAGTACACAGCATGTAATCTGAACATTTAATTACTGTAAAATTGGGACACCCACATGACCTCTCCCTCTGCCATCGTTCTCCTTTAGTGATCATCCTGGCCATTGTGGAGGTCATCATCATCCTACTTCTCATCTTCCTCAGGAAGAGGATCTGCATTGCCATTGCTCTCATCAAAGAAGCTAGCAGGTCAGACTTCACATTAAAGCTTTCGGCACTTTTAGAGGTAGAGGATGAGAGTAGAGGAAAAACAGATCAATGAAAGTTGTTAAATTGTTCTGACTTAAAAATAATTTCACTGGGACTCACAGTAATGGATTAAAGTGTCAGACTAATGGCACAGGCATAGATGATGTAATGGAAATGTAACTCATAGTGATGATAGATGGGGTTTTTTTGGCTTTGTTTTGATGATGTTTTTGTGTTTACAGAGCCATCGGGCATGTGATGTCCTCCCTTTTCTACCCACTGTTCACTTTCCTCCTCCTTGCCATGGTCATCGCCTACTGGGCAGTTACTGCTGTGTATCCTTTCATGTTACTGTCAGTTAGTGTCATTATTTACAGTTGACTGGAGTCAAAAACATAGGAGCAACAGGTAGGAGAAAATACTCTACACTTTGATAACCTGGTGATCTAGTTTCCGTTGTTTGTTTGAATAATTAAAGAGAGCTTGAGCTTTGTTATACGAGACATTTCGTGACACAGTGGCACACTAGCACCTAAAGGGATGAACAATGCTTTGGTTGTGGTAATGGAAGTAATTCAGTTCATTTGGAAGGCATTTCAAGCATCAGAGCGCAACATAGCAAACATTAAAGAATTAGGCTGAATCTAAATGTCTGGACGTGGGGACTGAACACAGATGTCTTTCATACATATCATGAGGTGGTCATTGTCATCATTTGTCATCATGACAACCCTAGGCCTGGTGCTAATATTGTCGCCATCTCTTGGCCAAGTTGTCGTTGAGATGAGACATTGACATTGTCACATCCATATCGTCATGGATTATGGGTAATGTTTGTCTGGCGAAGTCTGCAACCCAAGCAGACTCTATGGAAGTCTGCACAAAGTCCACTTCAGGTCCCTTGTGGATTTGGACAGGCTTAGGCACTTCCCGAGAACATGCCTGTTAAGTTTGATTTAGCCAGTGGGAAGCTGCGAGATCTAAGTGTGTCCAACTGTATTTGGCTTATATTAACTTTAAAAGCACATGTGGATAACTAACTAAGCTCAGGCTTGAACAAGACACTAAACCCCGAAATTGCTCCCCCATATCTGTGGAAAAACCTGTAAGTTACTCTGGACAAAAGCGCCAAAATGAATTTAATATAATGTTACTGAGATGGGGAATGAGGTTGGGGAAACTTGACATGGTTATGATTGTTCTCCTTGACCGCACTCATCAGCTTCTTGTCTACCTCAAATGAACCCATCTACAAAGTTTTCAATGAGACAGAATGCGAACACTCAAGAGCAACCTGTGAGCCAGCTGTAAGTTGTGTGTCTGTCTGTCTGTGTCTGTGTCTGTGTCTGTCTATGTCTATATAACCTGTATCTGTACTCAGAACTACACATCCAGTCTGATGAGAAAGCAGTGCCCTGACTCCGAGTGCCTTTTTGCCTTCTACGGTGGAGAGACCGTTTACCACAAATACCTGATCGCCCTGCAGTTCTACAACGTCTTCCTCTTCTTCTGGTGTGCCAACTTCGTCACGGCTCTGGGACAGATGACCCTGGCCGGGGCTTTTGCCTCGTACTACTGGGCCTTCGTCAAACCGGATGACATGCCTGCCTTCCCAGTGTTTTCTTCCCTTGGGAGATCTCTCAGGTGTGTGTGTGTGGGGAGGAGGTGCCAGTACATCTCACACATAACATTTCCATCTATGCTGCCTCCTTTTTGAGATCATTTTCTCTTTTTTACAACAAAAACTCCAGTTGACACATAGCTTGAAAATAACTTGCGTCTTGTTTTAGGTACCATACAGGAACTCTGGCTTTCGGCTCCCTCATCCTCTCAATCATTCAGATCATCAGGGTTCTGCTGGAGTATCTGGACCACAAGCTACAAGGTCTGGTTCTGTTCTTGACTACAGTTAGATGTCTGCTCAAGGCTACAATCCACAGTGAATAGACAGTATTTCTTTCTGATTGTTTCACATTCAAAAGTAGCAAAGGACAGGCATAAATCTGTATTCAAGTAACTAACTACCTTCTAGTGCATCATCACCTGAAAGACCTGTCTCCAGTGTGGGTTAAATGTTGACCTATCAATCCATCCTGGTTTGTTCGCAGGAGCCCAAAATAAGTGTACCAAGTTCCTGTTGTGCTGTCTGAAGTGCTGCTTCTGGTGTCTGGAGAAATTTATCAAGTTCATAAACAGAAATGCCTACATTATGGTGTGTGGTTTATTCGTTTACTTCACAGTACTCAGCCCATCAAAATTAGAAACTTTTATAATTTATAATGTTGAAGTATTTTAATGTAATGGGTGTATTTTGCTTCCAGGTGGCGATTTATGGCAAAAACTTTTGCACCTCTGCCAGAGATGCCTTCTTCCTCCTCATGAGGAACATGATCAGGTGAGTGTACATGGTGTTTACAATTGTGGGATTTTGAACAAAAATTTTTAATGTATGATTTAAATGTCTCTTTTTTTGCAAAGGATAAATGATTCTCTTTAATCCCTCAGGGTGGCTGTCCTGGACAAAGTGACAGATTTCCTCTTGTTTTTGGGGAAACTGCTCATTGTTGGGCTCGTGGGTGAGTCTCTTTATTTAACACGTATTCTTCATGCTTGAGTTATTAACCGACCATATGCAGTATTTTACAAGATAGAAGTAATGCATGTGTTGATTCTGATTGGTATGATTTTTGGATTTATATTCATCCTTTATAATCATGAGAAGTCATTGATCTTTATGCGTTACAGTTTAAACTCAAACTGCACAGGTCATCATAAGGAACTTTTTCACAGTCAACAAGTTTTCTCTAGTTCGTACTGTATACAGGTGCTGTGTTATAAATACAATGGGACTGTATTGGCTTCCATAGACTTTAATGCAAACTTTAACTCCTCAATTATACACACATAATGAGCTCATTTACATTTGATCAGCGGGCAGTATTGAACATTTTGAAGTGGAATGTCGTGTAAATATAATCTATGGGGATTGTAGGTTATAGACTATTGTATAACAACATCATCAATAAAACAAGTCATGGCAGCCATCTTTCAAGAATGTAACTTTAAAGTGTGTTTTCTATTATCTTTCTTCCACAGGGATCTTCGCCTTTTTCTTCTTCTCTGGGAGAGTGAAGGCCTTTGAGAATACAGCTCCCAATCTCCACTACTACTGGGTACCCATCATTGTGAGTCTGACGGTCCTTTTTCTCCCTAAAAAAACATTGTTATCTAATCAAACACACAACAGAACTGGTGTATAATTCAGTTTTTTTTTTTTTTTGTTCTGGCTCATGATCATGATGTGATGACTATGAATGAAATGTGAACGTATGATTCTTGTTGTCCTCGCCAGACTTTGGTGATTGGCTCCTACCTCATTGCCCATGGATTCTTCAGTGTGTACGCAATGTGTGTGGACACGCTTTTCCTCTGTTTCTGTAAGTAGCACCTCCTCAGCCATTGTTGACTTCCAAGATTGTCCACACAAGTGTCAGATGGAGCGTTGCAGATATGTTGTGTTGAAGAAAGGGCTCAATGTAAAATGCAAAGCTTAATAATCTAAACTTTCATCACTTCTTCGAGTCTCACATTGCTGTCGGTGTCGGGCTGTCACTAATTCTATATTGCATGAATATGGTGTGCCACACATAAAAAATGCACCGCCATTTCAAAATAGTGGTCTGTGGCTTACAGTATGTTAAAGTGGAAATTGCTGCTGCTTGGTGTTGAATGTTAACTTCTGAATCTGAATTGCCTGCGGTTGCCTTTGCTTGCTTGCTATTTGACTTTTTCTCTTTTTGTGTCTCCCTTCTTTTTTCTCACTTCCCACAATTCACCACCTCCTCTTCCTACTGGCCCTATAACACCTTTTTTTTTTTTTACCTTAATTTAAATACTAATTTTCCGTACCATAACATTAACTCTCACACGCACACACACACACACACACGCACGCACGCACGCACACACACGCACACATACACACATACATGCATACATACGCACATACATACATACATACATACAATAAGGTGAAGACCTGGAGCGCAATGACGGTTCAGCCACAAGGCCTTATTACATGTCCTCAACTCTTCATGAGATTCTGTGGAAGAACAAGGCTGAGGAACCCTCTTCGTCTGCTGCTCGGCAACAGGACGATGAAGACATCCGTTTGAAACAACAGCAGGCTCAGGAGGAGGACGCAGCTTAGAGAAGAGGAGTTTTGTGGGCAAAAACACCTTTTTACGCGTCATCAGATTTTTCACTGAATTACTGGGATAACAAAATCTATGCTACGCTTTTTTTAACTGTTATAGTTAAAGACTGACGGGAGCTGGTACTTTTTGTCCATTGGAAAAATCTCTTTTGCACCTAACTCACATGTCTCAGAGGCAGATTGTAGTACAGCTACAGAGCACTATGCCTTTAACAGTGGTTGCTCATTGTTCAGTTCAGTTTCCCATTGGACCGAAAAGTCCATTTCTCCAACAGCCCATTATCCTAAAGAAAAGCCCACTGCTACAAAGGTCTGTTGTTCCCAAAATACACACTCTCCCTGGAGCTTTTTGCCTTTTTTAATATCTTCAGTTAACGTCAGGTGAACTTTGTCAGGTCACCTTCTTCATCATGGTAACAATAAACAATAAAAACATGGTTGATGTTTTTTTGTTAATGTTGAAATGGTCGCAGTTTGGTTAGCTTTGGGCAACAGAACTGGTTGGTAAGGTTTAGGAAAAGATGTTTGTTTGGATTAAAATAAATACGTTAGTTGCATCAGTTAAGTTGGTTTTGTACGTGATGTAAGTTAAATGTGTTACGTAAGGTACACTAGGCTGGTATTTCCAGAGCAATCAGCATTTGTTTGCAGGATAACAGACTGCCGGACAAATGGGCTTTCGGTCCAATGGGACATTTTCCGGACTTGGATTGGGTAATAATGTGTCGTCGGAACAATGGCATGTGTCTTTTATTGCCAGTTGAGTGTGTCGATAATGCAAAAGGAAATATGCATCAAAGAAACATGGAAATAAGATCTTAAAGCTTTCTTTTCTTAATTGACCATTTACTAAACCCCTCCTCTAAAAACTGATTGTCCAATCATAGCTTAGCAACTGTAACTAAGCACAGCAAGTCTTTAAAGCTTTGTATTTCTCTATGTGTAGGAGCTGCAATAAGAGTTTGGAAGGCTGTAAAGCTGGAAACATTGAAAGGTCAACCAGAGACAGCGCGGATCTAATGTTAATTAGCTAGATAGCTACACCTGATGGACTCTTCCAGCAACAATTATTTCGGAATGGAAAAAATCAGCATTCACTGGCTATACATGAGACGTCTGCTTTTGTCAACCTGTCTGAAATCAAGGATCCATTGTTTCAGAAATGATAAAGTATTTAGAGTGGTGAATGCACCATTATCAGATATGTGCTGTGCAAGAACAGAAATCTAGCAACAGTAAAAGAGGGGATTAGTGAACAAACAGTCAGTGGAAAATAAAGCATGCATCTGGGAATGAGGGCTTTAAAATGCGCACATTTTAATATTGTAGATGGGTAATTTGCATGATTTATGAAATGGCAGTCTCTCATTGGAGATGAAACAATTTTAATTCATTTAGAAAGTTTCTCTTGTTAACAGACAGGTCTTTTTCTCAGTTTTAATGAAATGTCTGTAGTTTGTTTATGGTTCTTTTGAACATGCTGGAAAACTAAACTGTATAAATGGCTTCCGCTGAGGTGAACTGACATTTCTAAACCCTGTTTTGGACTTTTAATAGTTCCTCCCACTGCCACTGGCCAATAGAAACTTGAAGCCATTCATGTGCCTAATTTACAGTGTTAATGTCGGTCTATTTGCACCTCTTTGACCTAAACTTCTACCTAATTGTTTACAGTTTATGCAATCAGAATCACATGATCATCCGTGCTCTTCCTTTAGTAAGGTGCACTGTGACTGCACTTTAATTTCTGTTCACACGTAACTGTTTTTTATCTGTATAAATGAATACTGGTGATGTTGCTGAGGCTAGCTGCTTTGTATTCTCTTATATTGAAGTTTTTACTGTAAAGCAGTGTAGTTTTACATTCATTTGCTTGGCAGTGCAGTCGGTTTAATAAACAGTATTTGAGGCAATTTGAGCCTCCACCACATAAAATGAAGGGATTTCAACTCTTGTTGTTGGTGACTGTGTGAGCTAGTGATCAAAGCTACCTACGTTTGTTGAATGCAAATGAAACTGTGAAACATCATCCAGATTTACGAGTTAAGAATATTTAATTATGAAGCTTGCCACTCATTTAAAAGATAACATTGTGCCTCAAAATGTTTGAAATAGACTTTAGCTCTAAAGACCATAGTTTAATGCCAGTTTGTTGAATCTCTTTCCAGTGGAGGATCTTGAGAGGAACGATGGCAGTGCAGAGAGGCCCTACCTGATGCCTGAGAGCCTCCGCAAAGTCCTGAATAAGAAGAACAAGACCGAGCCGGCTGAGTAAAGCACCTCCTCTAACAGTGCAAGCCCAAGTGAGGCGAGACTGGGCTGAAGTTGACTGTGGTTTTGTTCAGTGGAAACCGTCTCGGTCAAGAACCTAAGGCCATCAGTGACCAGGAGCCTGCAGGTGACAATCAGTAGTGTCATCCATTGTGTTTTTACTGCCAAATGTCTCATTCCCACACGTCTGTCTTATGAATCAGACATTTTAGCTTTGTGGATTTTAGACATTTGGAAACTAATTTCTGTTTTGAAAGCAATATCCAAACACGTTTTTTAGTATGTTGTACATTTTTATTAGAGATGTAGCCTATTTTGTGCATGTTTTTAATATTTGAGCGTTCAATGAAGGTAAGCTTAAATGTAATCTATTATGCTTTGCGCTTTTATCCCTGTAGGTTTTTTTTCTTTTTAAATGTGTAATCTGTAATATTTGGATTAATATTGAACCTTGTTGTTACCAAAGACATTACGTTGCCATTCATACAAAAAGGTCTTATCTGCATTTATTGGTCCTGTGGGGCAACTTTAGCAGGCGGTTGGAGAGAATTATACAAAAGCAAACTTTATATTGTAACTGATGTATAGGGTTGTACTTTGGTGCTTATTTTATGTCTGTGGAATTTAATTGAGAAGGTTTTTGAAATAAAACATAGTTTTGTACATAATTGTGTGAGACTGTCTCTCCTGAAACAAGTTATTCATTTCCAACCCAAATGTTTACAGCTGCTCTCTGAGTTATTCTACAGTATGCACCATAATATCAGGTATCTTTCAGGTGCAGGTATAGTTCAGTCTGCTTTGTTTTATTTCTTGAAGAAGGTCGTGTGTAAGCAAGCTTGCCAACTCCAAGTGCACATCTTATAAGTGGAAAAAATGGCCCTGGATGCTCTCAGGGGGTTTCTCCACCCTGTCAAAGCAAACATTGTTGGAGAAAACTGTCAGATTGGACTTAATTGTCAGGTATCTGAAGTTTGTCCTATATTACAAACGTCACATCTGGTGTACAGGTTGTAAGGTTGCAAATGTTGGCATATTTTTTTATGCTGTAATCTTTACAATAAGAACTGTGACTTGATTCCATTTCTCAAAATGCATACATACAAACTTTGCATTTCTTTTTTGTATTCCTTGCTGTATCAAAAATGTACCAGACCGTGACCCCAGAACTGATGTAAGGCACTTACAGACTGACTGAGAATTTGGACAGATCATTACAGATTAAATACATTTCCAATACAAAGTGACTGCCCTTATCCTTATTAACATTTTAAATCCTGATTCATCCTTTTCAAGTTCCATAAAATGTTATGCGAAGTGTGGGCAGTCATCTCAGAGGAGCAGTTCCAACACTTCTGTAAAGCTACAATATAAAGTGCGTATACAGTCTCTCCATATAACCTGCATCTGTGCTCAAAACTACATGACAGGTCATATTAAAGCAGCATCTGCCTTGACATGACGCAGTCAGCAACAACTCTTTACAGGCATAAAATTCTACCTGCTGTTCTATGATTGACCATGAGGTGGAGTGTGTAAACTATGCAATGTGCTCAGCTTGTCCTAATCTGTTCTCATCACAGATCAGTAAGTATATAGTAGAGGAAGGCCTTATCTCCGGAGTGGCCTCCATGCTGGCTTTATTAAGTGTCACCTGACGTTTGAAGGAGAGTTTTGCCCTGCTTAGATTGCAATCACCTTTCTGAGAATCAGATCAGCACCTCATGATCAAGCAGAACATCACTTGTGTTGGTTTGTGGACACTGCTCTCACTTTGACTCTGTGCCAACACATCAGTCAGGTGTATTTGGATTCTCTAAATGAAAAGGGTGAACTGGTGACACCAATGCCCAGAGTTTCTCTCTGTAAGATTCAATTAAATCTAGTCACCTTGAATAGGACCAAATGCTTAAATAACTATAAATGAATGAAATGCACAAAGGGAGCTGCAATGGTGAAGCTCCTAATTAGCACTATGTCTCAGCTAAAATAGGATGTGTCGAGGGGAGCAATCACAATTGACGAGGTTGTGCATGGCATATCACGAAGGAAAGGCGTATGACACTTTAATATGAGTGGCACACCACTGGTATGCTGGTGGACAGTATCCTCCTGTGAAATGGGAGTGACACGCTGTTTATAAGTCGCTCAAAGCCGTGGTATATCATATTCAGCAGTTCTTCAGGGACTGGTGTAACATAACCCACTTTTATTGTGTTTTATGGCCTGGAATCAACGTCTTTGTGGTTTACATAGAGGTACCTTTAAAAGGTACGGGGTGATTTTTGTCTTTTATTACATTATGCCACACCTCTCCCAAAGGTTGTGTTCATTGTAGACAGTTTTTAACCTTTGCACAGTAAACTCCATCAACACAGTAAACACACTCAGGATTGCAGCTGACTCATTAGCATCATCGGCGTTCCCCAGGGAATATATTCCTTCATTTCGTTTTGTTTGTTGTCAAACAGTGAGCGATATAATTCAAGAGTCGATCCACAAAAGATGTTGTTTTCTTTGCAGTTTTGCGTCAGAGGTCCTGGCTTGTTGGCCGGTGAGGGGTTTCTTTCATTCCAGTCTCCATGGAGAACACCTGAACCGCCTAAGTGGTTGAGTCATTAGCAGGAGTGGTGGAGTTCTTGAGGGTGACTGGTATGCACTTGATATGTGCCACATTGGCCCTGGCAACCCTAAACAATGTGACACAGCCTGTTGAGAATACTTCAGTATGTTTCCATTTCAAACATTTTTATGTTGAATAAAGGCTGGTAATGAAGTTAATGAGGTCTGAGTGCTTTGCCACTTCTTTCTTCCAGACAGATTTACTTTTGGATGAATCCCTGAACCAACACAATTTGCTGGCATATGCTTTAGCATTACAGCTATTTAAAGAGGACAGATATTGTAGAAGGCAAAGACTGGCCCCAATATTTAAGGATATTTCTGTTATTTTGTCCTCTCTCTTGTACCTGTGTGTGGAACGTAAGCTTACATACAGTAGGATATGTCATTCCGGATATAAAAGTCCAGTGTGTAACATTTAGGAAGATCTATTGGCAGAAATGGAATAAAATATTCATAGGTATGTTTTCATTAGCGTGTAATCACCTGAAAATAAGAATGGCAAAATCCTACAAACTGGTCATTTAAGTGGATCCTTGAAGCCAGTTAGTGATATTTCTGTTTAGATACTGACTGTGGACTTGCGTTAATTGATTTTTATTGGCCATTTGGGGGCAGCACAACAAGTTGCAAACACAACATTGAGATATTTTCACCAGAGATGAGACGAACATGTTTGCTGCTGGGTTTATCAGAGCTTCTAAGGCTGCAATTTGGCCACTGTCAAACCAAAGCAATGCACTGAAAGACACTAAAATGCCCCGTAGACCTGCAGATGCAAACACTGGTGTAACCTTTATAACATTGCTGCTTAGAATGACAGCATTGGTCATTTTAACTTTTAACTTCGAACAAATCCAAATGTTCTGAAGCAATGAACTGTCTATAAACATACTTTAGCCATAAAGGCCACTGTCATCATGCTCACGTATGCCAAGAGTTTCTGAAGGTTGTTGTCTCCTGTGATGTGTTGATTAAGAACTGTCTGTCTGCATTCCTTGGCTCTGCTGTACACTGTGCGTCAGCCTTCCTCGGAATTCCTGAATCCAGACACCAAATGCCTGAATTCTATGAATTTCTGAGATTTTCAGTTTGTATTTTGTTCTGATGGCAACAGGGGCTCATTGGTTAACCCTACTCTGTTGCCATTCTTCAATGTTAGATACCAATCAAATATCTGGAGTCCGTCAGTCAATATTGTTGATCATAATGGGTGTGCCAGAGTAATAAATGTTCTTATTTGGCCCAAGTACTGCAAGCATCAAACACAGCTGACAAGGGTTCAGATGGCAGAAAGCAGACGTGAAAATATTCTGTGAACGGCTGCTCAAGTCTTGCACAATTTGAAGAGCTCTTGACAGATGGCATGCAGAGGTGAAAATGTGTTCAACAGTGAAATGCCTACGGATTGTGTATTATGTAGCCTGTCTTTTAGCTATGTTAGTGGCACGACTCTTGGGAGTTGGGTGGTCCTCCACTTTGGTCCAGACTGAAATATCTCAACAACTACAGGATTAAATCTTTCATTTCGTGGTCCCCAGAGGATTGATCCTGACTCATGATGTTGAAATCTTAGGTTTTTTTAGTCTAATGTGTTAACAGCTATGGGATAAATTGCCATGAAATCTGGTACCGACATTCATGTTCCCCTCAGGATGAATCATAATAACTTTTCATCTAGAATGATCATCAGGTACACAATTTTTTTATTATATATATATATATATATATATATATAATATTTTGGTTTATGACAAAATACTTAAACCTCCACTGTAGGCCTACTTTTAGTTTAGTGCTAATTAGCAAATGCTTAACAGTAACTAAACTAAGGTGGTGAACATGGTAAAAAATGACCTGCTGAACATCAACATATTAACATTGTACAGTACAGCCTCACAGGGCTGCTATCATGGCTGTAGACTCTTGGTCTTTTTCAGGATGTCTATGTTAACCTTCAGCTACACTGATAATGTTCAACTTTACAGGAAAAACTGGATTAATTGTTCTTTAAATACAAAAGCTTCCTAATAGTCTGGCCTACTCGATAAAAATGAGCAATGTCTGCTCAAACAGAACTTTGAACTTATATATTAAAAGAGATGACACATTAATAGCAGGTGTAGGTAGGGTTTGTACTGTATGGTGTCCTGTTTGTGTTTACAGCCTGGGCTAATGATGCCTTCACTATCAACAATGACAGGTACTCGGGGGAAGAACCACACCTAAAAGCATCAGATGGCGGTGGCGTAACTGTTCGGGCCGAATAATGGAAACTAAATCTGTGCCAAGATTTTATTTGGTGTTAGGTGTTTCAGAACTACTGTCAAAACAAAAGACTTAAATATGACCCCTTTGGCGTATGATGCATGCACGAGTATTTATTAAATTACTTGTAACCCAGGATTGAAACAATTGGCGTTATGGTTATTCATACAACTTCCATATGTGGCTCAGTGGTTTAGTAATTCACTGGGTGAGACGAATATTGTCTTAGAGCATGTGATATGTTTGTTGTCCGGTATATTCGGATTGGCAGAGGAGAAACACACATCAGCTGTGAGGATGACGCGGAGCGAAATGCCACATTCAGGAAACAACAACCATCTTTCACAGAAAAGTAAAGCATCTTTTCATTTTCTTGGAAAACCTGCTGTCATGTAGGTCAGATTGTGAGCTGTTGCCTGAAACATAAACACACACACACACAAACAAACACACAAACTCACAGGTGATCTGAATCATTAACCTGACTGTGCCAGACGGTTTGTTACACAGAACCATCAAAAATCCTCAGCAGGTGATTGGGTGAACCATCTATCACCATCTATCACAAGCAAACTTCAACCAAATAGATCATCTCTCCATTTCTGATATGACTAATGCTAGCAGCAGCTTGTATGGGAGCCATCATTGTTGTTTAATGAACATTGTATTCTCGCTGTGTCACACCTAGCATTCCTGTAGCTGCCAGTACTTCCTCAAAGAATGCTGGTTGGTCCGTACTACTGTACTGGCCACAAACAACTTGTGATTTTGTGCCTCACAAGGTTAGATTATCATAGTTTTGAGAGCAAAAAGAAAATTAGATTCTAACAAAGGACCGCCAGTCGTGTGACAGAAAGACAGACAGACAGGCAGATAAGAAGGAAGACAGACACAGATAGAGGGAGAGGTGATGAAAGTGTAAAAATGATCTCTCATAAAAATCTATGATAATGATGATGATTTTATACTTCATTTATAAGAATAGAATATGAAGCTTTACTTGCCTCTGAACTTACGGTAAGGACAAAAACAAATAGGTTTAAACATGGTTTTCATCATAACTGTCAATCATGAAAAAATGTAGTTTGAGGAATGTAGCAGTGCAACTCTAGTGACAGTCACACACAGCTCTGTTCATTCCTATGATAATTGCTCAGTAGTGCACAAAGCCAAAAGAGACGTTAATTTATACACCAGAGACTTCCACATTAAATTCTGATAGTGTAACAACTCATTTTGCCGGGGTTGTGACACTCAAAATCAAAGTAGGCTTATGGGGAAAATAATTTTTGGTCCAGTGTGAATCACGTCACGGACGGTACGCTGTATTTACACGCTTAGCCCTCTATGTCAAATCTTCCTGGGGGACTTGATCACACTACATTAAAGGGGTACACCAGTGATATAGTATCACACTTCCATAAAGCTGGGGGACTCGTAAGAGACAGATTCAAAAGAATTGTCACAACTGAAGCAGCCTGAGGTGTCCTGACTTTTAGTCCCTGGTCTGGATTGAGCTCCAAATGCAGTGGGTCCTACATTTCCCATAATGCAACTGGATAGTGCCTTTATTGGTAAACCAGACACATCTTTTAAACTCCATACTTCCAGTTTGTAACACAGGCTTTCTGTTAAAGTTTTTTGTTGCCTTCAAGCCTGAACCAAAATAACCCTAATGACATAATTATGACATCATTAGGGTTTTTTTTCGACGTTGGAAATACCCCGCCCCCAATTCAATCAAATTATGATCTAGAAGGACAAAACATTTTTTGTTGTCTTCATTCAGATGAATCTGTTAATGTGCAATATAAACGGTATTATCATTTATTTATGTAATTTACGTTCCTCTGTGCAGTAATAAAATACATCAGGAGTTTTATCTATGCATTCAATGTGTAAGAGATAGAAATCTGCAATTCCTATGATCTCACCTGCGTACTACTGTCATCTTATCAGTGTTATAGATCACAAGTGGTGACAGTAATATGATCCCAGCAACATTTTACCGCTCTCAACTTTAATACATTTGTCTGTGCTTGTGTTGTTGTATTTCCACTAACAACAGGAGAAAACTGATTTTTAGTTGATACCTTAACTTGAAAAAATTAAAATAAGTATGTTCTCCCGGAAAGGTGCACTGACAACCCTCTGGACCAGTCAACAACTACACGAAACAACACAGGCAGGAGATATAACCAGTCGACTGCTAATCAGAAGGCTGGTGGTTCGATCCCCGGCTCCTCCCGCTGCATGTTGAAATATCGTTGAGCAACATACTGAACTGAATAATGTTGTGACAACTAGTTTCATTTATTCATTGTCTAACATGCAACAATCATAACTGTGGAAACGTAAGTTCACATATATGAGAACAGATTTATTCACATATATGAGAACACTGGCAACAATATTTACTTACAGGATCAGTGTGAAGGATTTAGTGGCATCTAGCAGTGAAATTGGAGATCACAACTAACTGAAGACTGCTCGCGTCTGTATTTGACAACCTGAGAGTGAGAACGGGCTGTGAAATGTGTATAAAAAACTAGGGTGGCTACGAAACTCATGAAAGGCCCTATGTAGAGTCAGTGTTTGGTTTGTCCATTCTGGGCTACAGTAGAAACATGACGGTTCAACATGGCGGACTCCACGGAAGGCGACCTGCTGCTGCTGTAGATAGAAACGGCTCTTTCTAAGTTAACAAAATCATATTTATTCTTATTTTACTTATTTATACACAAAAAGATACCTATGAATATTATATTTGTCCTAAATGTCAGACACTGGACCTTTAAAGGTAATTAAGTGACGATGCTTAAAGAACTCAGAATGTAATTTAAAAACCGGTCAGTTTTACAGATCCAGCCCAGAACTTATCATTTATCTGGGCCACATGATTGGGTATTAAAAAAAGATTTTGAACCTATTTCCAAAGTTGAACCTCTGTTAAAAAAAATTTAAAATCTAAATCAAAACAAAAATGGCAGACACATCCAATTGTTTTTAAATGACTTTATTACTTTAACTAGTAGCTGCAGAAACCGATGTTTACCGAATGTGAGAGGCTGTTTCCTCCTATATCCAGTCTTTGTGCTAAGCTAGGTTAACCAAAGTACCAGCTGTAGCTTCATTATTACTGCAACATGACAGTGGTACCAATCTCATCTAACTCTTAGCAAGAAAGCAAATAAGTAGGTCTATAGTGTATTTCCTTTAACTATTGCTTTGAAATGTTAGACCATCATTGCCATACTGTACTGACACCAGAGCACCCCACCCACAGCCACACACACACACACACACACACACACACACACACACACACACTCACACACACACACAGCCACACACACACACACACACACACACAGCCACACACACACACACACACGCACACACACACGCACACACAGACACACCTCCTGTCACTCCTCCTACAGTCAGCAGCAGCAGCAGCATAGGTCACCTCCCACTATAAAGCTCACTGAGTTTCAGCCGACGAGAGTTTCTGCGGGCTCCGGTGGATTCAAGTGATTTCTCTGCACAGACAGAAAACAAGTCGGAACAGTTTAGATCTGTTTCCGTCACATGGGAACAACCCTACATATTTGTATGCAGGCATAAAATGTAGCGAATACTCTGCAGTGAAAGTCGTCTTTGTAATTGTAATACAGGCGCGTTAATGTAGTCCCAAACAAGATCATTTAAAACCACTTTTCTTTAGTTAAATCAAGATGCAGCCCTAAACTTACTGTCTCGCAAGGTGGAAGTTGATTTTCAGTTCCAAATATTCCTGTTAAGATGGAAAGCACTCCTTAGTCGACCGGACGAGATGGGAAAATGGGAGTTAACAATGGTAAGAGAAATGTTTGATATGATTCAAGAATACACTGATCCATACATGAAGTCAGCTACACAGTAAAGTCTGAACATTGTTTGTAATGTAATTTATTTCAATTAGCCAATCAGTCAGGGGTTAGTTTCTGTAATGTAACATATGCAAATACATTTTGTTCTGATTAATATGTGAAGAGCTTCATATGTAATATTTGTATAATCTCTGTAAACTGATCACAGTTTATGTGTTGTTTCTGCAGTCCACAGCCTCAGTTTGTGTCTCCAATCTTACATTACAGTTGGCAGCTGTAAGAAATATTCTTATTAGTGATATTTCCATATATAGGTTGCCAGAAATTACAAATCCCTGCTTTTTTGTGTAAAACTTTGGCAGAATATTGACATTTAATTTTTCTAAGATGATAGAAAATGTTGGAAATGTCAGAAATGTAACAGATTTGAAATTTTTCATTTTGGTTCAGGATGTATAAATTGAGCGAGGACATGTATTGTGTGTCAGCTACCGTCTTTGTTTGGATTGAGGGGAAAAAAAGAAGAAACTTGAGAAACGTGTTAGAGATCTTTTTTATCAAACAGCAGAATACTTTTTCTTTGAGGATTCTGGAAACAGCAGTAAGTGTTGACCTTCTTTCAACCTCCTTCAACCGGGCATTTATTTACTTTTCATAAAATGTAATGTTAATACATGACACCAACTGAGGCTGCTTAACTGTGTTTAAATCTGTGCCAGTTAGGACGGGTGAGTCATATTGCTGCTCCATGATCTGCTTTTTTCATTCATATTAAACTCTTATATTTAGATTTGGCTGTTAGTAGTGCTTAGTACCACCATCTCTGACCCTGAGTAACAGTAGCACACAATGAACAGTTTACTGTCTGTGTAACCAACAAACGATCCTAGTTTCTATGAGGGACAAAAGGGTTTGTGTGATACCGGTTAGCACTAGCAAACATTTGTCTTTACATGAAGACATTTAAATACTCATTTACATAAGATGATGTAAGTCCTCTCATGTAGATAATTGAATTTCAATAATTATCATGAGCACAGGCAGTGTCTTTCATCTCCTTGGCAGTATTTGGTCAATAATGCTTGCTGTATATATTGACATGATTTTGACATAAAACAGGTTCACAGACACTACTTTTTAAGATTCAAGGAGATGTGTTGCTGTATGGAACGACTGAGATCAAAAAGCTCACGACACACATGAGTATCTACTTGCTTTCACTGTGTAGATTCTTGAATTATTTGCATAAAAAGCAGATGGATTAGGAAGGAGTCATGCACGCTTGGTGTTATGATGAAACGCATTTAAAGGAGCACTCAATCCACCAATTTTACACGTGAAGTTTGGTTTACTTGTTATGTGGAACACTACTTAACCCAAGAAAATGGCTGTATTATGTCTTCTGTTCTCTAAAGCCTGAGTGAATAACCTTGATGATGTCATGGGGATGTCATCAGGGTTAACTTTTATTCATAACAATGAGCCTGTGTTCCAGCAGCTCTTTTTTTAGTGTGTCTTTTGTGATTTGTAATTTTTTGAAAGCGTGATACTTAATCACTTGAGTGTCCCTTCAATGGAGGATAAAGAGCGATGTCTTACGAATACGTATCTTGTGTTCTACGGGTCAAAGTACTGGTGATGTTGAACGTATTGCTATTATTATGAAATGCAAAGACAACAATGGAAACAAATTTCAAATAAATCTTATTACCTTGATTTTTGAGCAGCGACCTCATAATCCAGATAGTGTTCGGTTAAAAATTACATATTGTCTACTGGCTCCTTTTGGACCTTTTGAAATTATGCATCACAGCTGTTGTCTCATTATAGTTCAGACAATGTGAAAACCTGAACAAGACGCTCAGTATTCACATTCGATTGACCCCGTTCCCTTGTGTATTTCGTGTCGAGTGCGGTTGAGCATTCTGGAGGAGCAATCGTTTGAACACTGATTGATATCTCTCACTGAGATCAAACAAGGTCTAACTTCTTGTTTGAATATGTAATGCCAGTGTGTTTGAACAAAATCACGACACTTGGTGCTTAGCTAACAGCCAGAAGTCCTACAAGGCTCTTTTTTTGTGACGACGATGAGCGACGGTGACCGAAACTGGGAGCTCTCTGACATTTAGGCGGTGGGTGTTTTGCTTTGATGTACCATTGGATGTACTAACCTTTTGATAATCCTGTATTTGTCTATAAACATTCATGTGAACTCATAAAATTCTGGGAAGTATTTTAGGTTGCTGTGTTGCAGGGAAATTGTGGAATTGAAGACTAAGCAGTGGCTAACACCAGCATAATTATCATCATTACACACTAACCTGTTTGTGCACTCATTGCAGGCTCTGGAATGATGGTCATGAGTATAAGCAAATAATACGTTGTTGTTGTGGTTCACATGGGATCAGTCTTAGTGGTGATTGGTCACTGTGTGTGTGTGTGTGTGTGTGTATAGGTTCACCTGGCTGTTTGGCCATAGAGGCCCTCTGCTATTTTTACCTCCGTACTGCCAGACCTGACCCTACTGTTGTGACAAGTAACAATACTAAATAGATATATTTGTGTGTTTGACCCGTACCAGTATATTTTCGAGACACAAGCAGGGCATAGGATGGTAGCCACTCCCTCGACATGAGTGTCGTTGTAAACCTTAAACATTGTTCCCCACCTCTACCATCCTCAGAACCCAGTGCAGGAATGGGGTGAGGAGACTGAGGACGGTGCAGTTTATGGGGTCACTCTGCGCCGGGAGCCCGTCCCCTCCTCCAACCCCAGTGAGACGAGTCCATGCTGTGCATTTGTCCAGTACCGAACCTGCAAGGTGCGGCGTCTGAAGGCTGCTACCCTGGACCTGCTTATGAGTCACCTCCTCGACCCCGACTGCCAGGAGCAGGACTACGGCAGGATCTTCCTCTCCACGTACAGAACCTTCACCGGTACCTCAGAGCTCATAGAGCTGCTCTTCCAGAGGTACAGAACAACCACTGCACGCTTTCTTTTGTCTGTTTCTGAATGGAATAGTTTGGGGGACATACCACTCTAATGTGTACTGCCAGCAGCCAGTTAGCTTAGCATAGGACAGAGACTCAAAATGGGTAGAAACAAGTTAGCCTGCCAGCTCCTCTAAAGCTGTACAAAAAAACAAGCGTAAAAAGGCTAGCTTCAAGAGAAAATAATAAAGCTAAAGTTAGCTGTAGAGGTTTTGTTGTGTTTTTGTAGTGGATTTTGTTATTGCTAGACTAGCGTTTCCAGTCTTTAGGCTAAGCTAATTAGCCACTTGTGGTAACTCCACATTATGCATACAGACTTGAAAGTAGTATCTATTTTCTAATAGCCAGAAAGCGAATAAGCATATTTCCCAAAATGTTGAATTAGTCCTTTAATGGGTCTCTAAAATGAACATTCCCATGTCCATTCACACACACTCTGCTTCAGTTTCTTTTCCACTTTGGGTTGCCTCTTTCTCTGGTTATAGTGCCCTGATCAGAAAGTATAGGCTCCTCTTTAAACATCATGAAGAGCCACAGGTGAAGAGCCGTCTCTTTTGTTCTTGATTCTGGCAAAGCATCTTGGGTTGTTGCACATGCAAAGTCACCGTGTTGCGTCAGGGTCTTTTTATACATTGTTTCCCTGACAAAGCAACCATCTCCTGCCAGCTTTGATGTAATAATAAGTACCTAGCAGGTGCTCATTATGTTGAGGCTTTCAACAACAACAATTATGTACAGAGCAGTTTTTAGACTGTGGTTGGCATGAATCAGGGTCAGGTTTAGGATCGCTGCAGGGCAGAAACAAATAATGATTAAAATATACAAAAAGCAGCGTGAAGAGTATGGCTAAGTCTGTTTTTCTCCCTATAGAGACAATGCTGCCTCAGACCTGGACAACTGCGAAAGCTACAGCAGGTAGGTGGATGACTTTTGAGTTTACAACTTGTGCACTTGAACCCTTACACGGTTCATTTCTAGTGTGTCTTTTTAAATAGTTAAACTGTAATGATTCTTCCACTGCCTCCTCAGCCCTCTGTTGGCCTTTGTCCAGACATGGTTGGATGAATACAGTGAAGACTTCAGGGATCCTCCTCTGCACTCGGCACTCCGGCTGTTGTTGGATCACCTAAGAATCAGCTCTGCAGTTCACAACAACATGCGCACCCAGCCGAACTTCTGCTCGCTGGCTGCACAAGCTGAGACGCTGCTCAAGAGCTTACAGAAAGAAGGTGACCCTCCACCACATAACAATAGAAAGTTATAAACCATGTACCACACCCCTTTGTGGTCGATGTCAACAAATACTCCTGCAAAAAGCCATGCTCACTACCTCCATTCATGCTCTGTGTTTCTTCAGAAGCTGAGACAATTGTCAGTCCAGCCCAGGCAGACCTGGAGCAAGATGAGGAGAGTTCTGGTGATGAGGATTCACAGTGTGAAAACCCGCTCGATCAAGGCGGCATCATGGATTTCTCCGCTACAGCCATTGCCGAACAGCTCACCCGAATGGACTCTGTACGTGAAAGGAAATATGTAATGTTCCACATTTCTGTTGTTTTACATTGATGATTAAAGGCTGATGATTGGTTCTCACTGCGTTCCAGGCTCTGTTTGTCAAAGTGGTGCCGTACCAGTGTCTGGGCTGTGTGTGGTCGCAGAGAGACAAGAAGGAAAACATGTCTCCAACCATCCGAGCCACCATTGCACAGTTCAACGCCATTACCAACCAGGTCATCATGTCGCTGCTCTGCCAGCCGACAGACGCCACCTCAAGTCCCACTTCCTCCCGCCAGCCTCCTACTACACCTGTTCAAAGGGCCCGCATCATAGAGAAGTGGATCAGAGTAGCACAGGTGAGTCAGATCTGAGATTGCTCCATGTTTTAGCTAGATTTTAATATATTACTTCATAAGAAAAGACTTATGCACTTCATTACCTTTCCCTTTTTAGAATTATTCACGTAAAACATAGTTACTGGAATATTTGATTTGTATTGAAGTGCATCCACTGAATGAAAGTTGCTTCTTCTACAGGATTGTCGTCAGTTGAAGAACTTCTCCTCTCTCAGGGCGATCCTGTCGGCCCTTCAGTCTAATGCAGTTTACAGGCTGAGAAAGACCTGGGCTGCTGTTAGCAGGTAGGGTTGGGTTACAGCCAAATGCCACCACTTTGTCCATCTCTATAGTTATGTTCATAATGTGTTCTACATAATTGTCCTTTAATGAGGACATTGAACCCTCATCAAGTGCAATTCAGTGTCACTGACAGCAAGTCAGCAAATATCTCTCTTTTGGATGACCCATATTCAATGTCAGGTCATGACCACTGCAGTAAACTATTATAAGTCAAGGATAACTGAAGCATAACTTCATGTTGTTCTCTTTATGGCCTAAACAGCTGGTCATGAACCAAGTAGTGACATGTAACATTTTAACACAATTTATTGTGTATAATAGTTCAATTTTAAAGTATGTGGTTTTGGACTAAAGGGCAGCAGATTTACTACAGATTGTCTCTGTTCTTTTTGCAGGGATAGCATGGCCATGTTTGATAACCTCTGGGAAACATTCCCTGATGAGAACTGTGTTCTGACCAACAGAGAGCTCCTGGTGGAGGTGAGAAGGAAACTATAAAAAACAAGCTAGATTTACTTCAGTTTTATCCATTTTTACAGTGCCAGCCTTTAGATGCGTCAGCCATTGAAATCTATGTAGGTGTTGGTGGTGACAATGATAGATGAGAAATATTATATATGGCTGACAAAGATGATATTCCTATACATTTTCATAGTCAATGTATACAGGCCATTTTTTACCTACCTATGCATCTAAGGGTTAATGTTTACCATTGCAAACATGTCAACTCCCTGCAGCTGTTACATACTTTCAGTCCCTGCAGTCAATTTAAGATGGGGATTTTTTTTAAACAGCCTTTTTTAAGCAATTTGAACTGAATATTGAAATGTACAGACTGTGTCTTTAATATAGGACATTGTGTGACCATAAACACGACACATGAAAACATGTTTGGAAACGATCGTGTTCCTAAGCACTCAAAGTACATGGATTTCTCTTTTTAATCATTAAAAAGATTCATATTTTTTCGTTAATATTTACAGAAATGTTTAACAGAGTGTTAATGGGAGACTAGAGGCCTCAAGCACATTGTGTTCCCTTTTTTCTTTTATGTAGTCTCCTCTAGGCAGCTGAGTCAGTGGCGGCTTGTGTCTAGTTACAGTGAAAGGACTCAAAAGTCAATAGACCAGGGATAGATTAGAACGCACAACAACCAATGCTTGCACTAGTATTTGCTGCTTCACAGTAACATCCAAAGAGATTCTTCACTGGGAAATCATTTTTTTATGTCTCCCTTTTTGTCGTTTTTTCTCCTCCTTTTCAATTCTCACTAGTGTATTCAGCTTATGCCTTTTTACTAAGGAAGCTTTTATCTGTGTAAACACAATCATTCATACATTTACTTAAAGCCTAATCACTGTTCTTTTAGACAGATATTACATACAAAGACTTAAGAGAGAAAGCCTTTCTTTCAAAAGACAACTATTAAACAGGATGTCCAAGTTAATGTTTAATAAGTCCTTTTCTTGTATTGAAGAATTTGCATCATAAGCCAGTTTACAGTTTGCTCACATCCTTAGCCCCCTTGTATGTGCTTGTGTGCATTTTATATTTGAATCACTTATTTTTGATAATGGGCCGATCTATGCAACTATAACTGAATATAGCTCTGTCTGACCTACTTTGACAGGACGGCCAAGTGACTGTGGATAACATTTCTCCAAAGGTATCCAAGCGGTGTCCGATCTCCAGACAGATGGTAAGTCATACCTCAGGATGAGACAAGATTGAGATGTTTTGAAGACATGAGAAGAAGCCCAGTGCCATATATCAGTGAGGTCTAGGTCAGCCTAAACACTAAGCAGCAACCTCCCTTTTGTACCATGTTAAAATGCACTCTTTCACTGTAGGAATGATGCAAAATGTGACCTTTTTCCATGTGATATTCTCTTAGAGTAATTTTGCCAGAGGCAGGGTTTAGTTTCAGCTTTTCAAAAAGATACATGCAAAATCCCTTCCACGTTATACAACTCTAAGAGCAACAAGAGAGCTGATTTCCCTCAGTGTGGGTGGAGTATCTCTGGCATGGCAGATGCCCAAACCTATCTATAGCCTCGCTTGGTGCTGTGCAAGTTTCAAATGGTCTCAGATCACCAGGATTATAGGACAGTAATAATAGACCAGACTGGGGTCTTTATGAGTCATATGCACATTCTCCTGGGCTGTAACATGAACCCACGGTGCTGCTAACTGGGACTTGCCTTGTGTAAATGTTGATCTCTACCCGTTCAATCAAAAAAAAAAAGTTAATGACAGTAATTAAAAGACTCAAATAACCAGATACAGTGACACAAGAAACAACTGGTGTAACCTAATGGGCAGTGTGCTTGCATGTCTCTCTGCAGAGTACCTCCAGTGGAGTGGTTCCTTACCTTGGCACCTATCTGACCGTCCTCACCATGCTGGACACTGCTTTGCCGGACACTGTGGAGGTACATAACCGTTCCTTTGCTTAATATTTGAATTTGAATATCTCACCTTATTATGTATTTCCCCTCTTTCTAGCCTTTCTAAGTAGTATATAAACACTAGATATTTGGCTGGAAGTCTGCTTAAGATATAAAAAGGGTTTACTGCAAAATAAAATGCACTCTGCATTTTGTATAATTATAATGTGAGAGCGAAAACTGTATCAATAAACAAAATGTGTTAGAAATTAAATGTGTGTAGGTGTCTGTCTGCTTGTCTACTATTAATATTTATATTGAGAACAATGGAATAAATTAATTTACAATTTGTAGTTGTTGCAATTTTTTTAAAAGCTGTTTTCACAGAGATTATATTTCTATGCCATAATATTGTACTAAGACAAAAAATAAAATTCAAGTGTTAAACACAAAGAATCCTTTTGTGTTAACAAAAGCAGTTAACAAACGCTTGATAACGTAGTATAACACACACACATAGGGGAATTTAATGTGTTCAAGAAGGGTTAATCCGTGTAAATATAAAAAAAATCATAAATAAATCATTAATTAGTAAATATTATTAACAAATATTGAAATAAAAATGCAGTATTCATGTTTATGTAAAATACAGAGTCTTATTTATGATTACAGCTGTGTTATATTGTCAACAATTCATGATTCATCTTAAAAACACTTGAAATGGTTCTTATCTCTGCCTACAGCTGAAACATTCATTAATGATTTATATACTGCTTATATAATAGGGTATGTTAGCATGAAGTGTTACTGTGGTGTTTTTGTTCATTTCTTGATCAAATGAATCATTGACATATGCAATAAATAATTACTGTACTAACAATCGGCTCTTCTGACAGGGTGGGCTCATAAACTTCGAGAAGAGGAGGAGGGTAAGTGGTTCCTCTTTGTGTCATCTTTTATGTATTCCTCTTTATTTCTTTTTTTTTTTAACATAGTACTCAAAAGCACAAAGGTGTCCACATTACATTCTGTCAGCACTACAGTACATGCCTGTGTGGTTGGGTGTGTACGGTATGTTTGCATTATCAAAGCAAACAGAGAAGGACATTTTTCTGACACTTTTCAGTACATGACAGGCTAGAAGCTAGAAGACCTTTGGTTTTCCTTTTTAAACATTACAGCTCTGTAACTGTTTGAAATACCATAGTGTTGCAGCTTGTTGTTGCAGGCAGGTTATGCAAACACACAGATGTCAGGAGTCAGGACATCTTGCAGTCTCTGTCACTCTGTTTATCCAGCCACATTTCTCTCTCCCTACAGGAGTTTGAGGTTCTGTCACAGATCCGTGTGCTGCAGGCTTCTTGTTCTCAGTACAACCTGCCCTATCACCCCAGGATCGCTGCCTGGCTGCAGGGTCACAAGCTCCTCACGGACCAGGAGAGGTGAGCTAAAGGACGCGTTTTATTTACCCCTTCACATAACAAACCTGCGTCACAAGCAGAGGAAAGCCAGCTGAAAGCGCAATAAAAGTTTAGTTAGCTACATAGGTTGTAAAAATTCTTCTTCTGTTATTAAAGACGAATAAAGATGTTGGGTGCAGTATGCATTATAATTGATCAAAATGTCCGATCATACTGAGTAATGGCGTGAGACATGGGTACGTTGCCATAAAGAAACTCTCATTTGACATTTATTATGCAGTAATTAGTCACATTTTTATATAACCTAACTCAGTAGTGATGCAGCTCATCGTAGGCAGAGTTCATAAAATCTTTACATTTGCTGTACTTCTGCTTTAAAAAACAGATGTTGGGGAGATTTATGTTACTCAAACTACAAGCAGAGTAACAAGAAACGGAGGTGTGTTTGGATCTGAAGAAAAAAACTGATATGGCTGAACAGATAACGAAAAGTCTTACCCAAAGAACACTAAAACAAAAAAAATATACAATTTTCACTGATATTATTATAATAATAATAATAATAATAATAATAATAATAATAATAATAATTATTATTATTATTATTATTATTACATATATATATTATATTACATAATAATAATAATAATAATAATAATAATTATTATTATTATTATTATTATTATTATTATTATGTAATATAATTGAATAACATTAGATTCAACATAACAATTTGTAATCAGAAACATTTGTGTGTTATGGCAATCAGTTTTGGTTTAAAAAAAATACAAAACAAGCTTTACCATTTATGGAGATCTCAAGTGATTATTGTTATTATTATTATTGTTATTATTATTATTATAAATAATATTATTTTTATATATATTGTGATTTTTTTGTAGTGAAAAATGATTACAAAGTCATCAGACTTTCTGTTTTAAGGGTATTCATTCAACTCAACTTAATAAAAACTAAAGACAACTAATTCTTCAACAAGACATCACCAATCAAAATGCCTGTAGACTGACAAATCAGTAATAAGAACAAAGTTTTCCTATATCTGAAATATACATAGATATATATAGAGGACTGCAGTACTGATTTATATGTGTGTGTTACAGTTATGAACTGTCGAGGCAGCTGGAGCCTCCGGTGGACTTGTGTTCGCCAACTCCGTGGAGCCACCGCACACTCACAAAGAAACTCTCCTCGTGAGTATCATCTGTGTTCTCATTTTCATATTCAAACACGCGGTGCATGCACATTTAACTATGCACACAGAACTGCACGTACAACACATAAACACACAGTCAGTCAGCAAAAAGTATTTGCTGAACCCTTTTTTGCTGCAACATGAAAGGAATCCGTATGATTTATTGTATGATGTTTTGATAAACAGTTAAAGGGAAATACGGTCGGTAATATTGCATAATTATATATAAAACAGCATTATTATTGTCATAAAATAAGATTTTCTGGCTTCTTTGACACAAGCTCAAGTTTAATCTCTGTCTTCAGCCTCCTGACAGTGAGTGATGGATCTAAAAAAGTCCCTGCTGACCAGATCAGTGTTACATCTTCTGGATCCAGTGGATCTGAGATGGAGGACCTCTCCTCACCAAACTCAGCCTGTTCCATCAGACTGCAGGTAAACAGCTGTTTGTCTGTCTGTCTGTCTGTGTGTGTGTGTGTGTGTGGTGTGTGTGTGTGTGTGTGTGTGTGTGTGTGTGTGTGTGTGTGTCTTCCTCATTGTCTAATAGCCTTGTTTTATGTCTATGCTTTGTCCTCAGTTGTGTGCTAACAATGGTGTCATTGTTGACAGCTTTGTCGTGCTGTGCCTTCATCTAATGGGCTTCTGTGTTCAACACAACATCACCACTATTTACACTTCACAAACAATTGTCCTGTTTTTAAGTAGCCAAACAAACCCCCAAAGCATTTCTAATAAGAAGTAAAATGCACTGAATGGCTTTTAAAACTTGGAAAGCTTACATAATCTCCCTTCACAAAAGCTCCTCTTTAGTGGGCCACTGAAACTACCACGAGCCCTCCACAAGTGGAATTTCAAATGATCAGGTCCTTAGCTGAACTGGAGTAGGGTTAGTTAAATTGTGCACAGCTCTCACTGCTGCACCATCCATCAATAGCTCATTTGTTCTCTGCAGATGCTCTAACCATTTTTCCAGTCATCAATATTCTTTCTCTTGTTTTTGTCTCATCTTCTCTGCAGTCCTTTCACAGCTCTTGCAGCAACGTGTCCGAGGCCTTCTCTTCCTCATCATCCTCCTCTTCCTCGTCCTCCCCTTGCTCCTCCGCGGCTTCCTCTCCAGACTCCCCCAATCCTATCAGCTCCTCATCCTCCCCCTCCGACTGCCAGACGGATCTCTGCCCTCCGACCACGTCATGTGCCGGCGCTCGGCCAAAGCCTGCTCTGGCCTCCCACCACAAGCGCTCCGTGTCCATGACCTCCCTGCCTGTGTATAACCGCCAAGTGGCCGACTCGTGTATAGTGAGGTTGAGCGTGGACCTCGGCCACAACAACGGCAACATGTACAAAAGCATCATGGTGAGTTCATCCTCAAGAACTAGATTTTCACTACTCAGTCATCATTAAAGTGTCTTTAATAGCATTTATGATTCTTTGTGTTTCACAGTTGACCAGTCAGGACAAGACTCCACAGGTGATTCAAAGGGCATTGGAGAAGCATCACCTTGAGCACATGAACTGGCGGGACTTCACCCTGACCCAGGTCATCTCCCAAGACAGAGGTGAGAACATGATGACTCTACCATCAAAAGGTTTTTAGAAATATGCTGAGAGAAAGAAAATTGACAATTTATCTTTTTTTTTCTGTTTTCAGAGTTGCTCATACCAGACAAAGCAAACGTCTTCTATGCCATGTCCACAACGGCAAACTTTGACTTCGTATTACGCCAATTCTCCAAAGGCCAGAAGAAACCACTGAGAGCCACGTCTAGTCTTGGACGGTATACAAAGTAGCACCTCTGATCTACAAGTTCTGCACCTGGAGGATGATCTCAGCTCAAGGGACACTCTTTGGAAATCGCCTCTATTCTTAAAAAAAAAGAAAAAAAAGAAAGAATGTTTTATAAGAAAAGTGTGTTCGCCAAGATGGTTCATCCTTTTTTTGGATACCAAAGAGGTAAAGATGTTTTCAAGATGATGCAAAAGCACTTTATGAAGTAGAACACTCGCTCTACAGAAACCTATGGACTGATGAAGAAAACCTTTGGATCAGACAAGCTTTTATTTCCTGTTGGAATAAACTTTGTATGAATCCGTAAAAAAAACAAACAGAAGAATTAACCCATTCCTTGACCTTTTTGTTGGCAATGCTCACATTGTTTTTAGTGCATGGATGCATGTGCAAATACGGACTGATTGTAGTTCCTGGACTGCTGCTATGCCACTACCAGTAACTGTATGGGCATGAAGATACACACACACACACACACACACACACACACACACACACACACACACACACACACACACAGAGAGAGCAACACGTGCCAACATCAGTCACCTATTCATATGTGAACATTGAGAAATGACTGCCCATCTCCCAATGCAGCTGGGTGCTATTATTAATCTGTGTGTTAAAAAGGGAATCGAGGGGCGGAAGGCCGCACAGTCGGTAATGAACTCCTGGGGCCCCTTGGCAGGTTGTTGGCCACTCGAGATGAGCTCGCCCGGTGTACTCATGTATTGCTGTGCCAGTGACCATCTGGGGGAGTGGGTGGTGACGTTCTCACCAGGGATCACCGTGTTCTCCGGCGTTGCTGAGATACTCATCGTGTTCGACTGGCTGGCTGCCCCAACTGGAAGGATGGCATTCCTGAGCCTTGGTAACCACGGCAGCAGTGTGATGAACGGTTAAGGGATGTTAATGTGCAAATGGCTACTGTATCTTGATGAGACGACAATAAGGGTGAACTGTTGTCTGTGTGCGCTTTCAGTGTTCGTGCGAGTAAGTAAGTTTGACTTTTAGAGTTCAGGTTCATGTTTTGTATTTATTTTCACTACTGTGGTTCACATTGATCCCACTTCCTTTTATTTGATTGACACATTGTGGTGACTCACTTGGTGGCTTCAGCATGTTTTTCAAAAATCTAAAGTTTATCTTCAAACTGCTTTGATTAATGAGGTAATTTTACAGATGTCTTATTTTCTGATGAATATTGAGAATATTTAAAATGTTAATTTTTTTTTAAACTTAAATTGTATTTTACTAATTAGGTTCAGACTTGTGAAGCCTGGATGTAACTGGTGCTAAAATGGCTTGATGTAAAGCCTATTGAGGAGTTCAGATGTAATCATTTCAATGACGTCAATTGACGCCAAGACTCTAGTGACACGGCTGATAATGATCGAATGTTCTTACAGTTAAAGCTGCCGGGAGTGTTTGCAGAGAGGAAGAGTTACACAATGAACAGACACACTTAGTCAAATCACAAGTTTTATCACTTGAAGTTCTTCTGCCGTGTCTGGGAAGCAAAAATGGCTGTCAAGGAAAGGAACAGATGTCTCGTTGACCTCCTTTACCCACACTGTCCCTACACACACACACACACACACACACACGGCTTTGAAACATACAACACTTTCTCAAAAGCTTACTTCTTCTCTGCAGCGTCCTCTCTCTCTTGTGGCCGTTGTGACATGAATGGACGGTATTTCTCGACTTATAAAAAAACTGCTTTCTGTTCACTGTTGTGATTAATGAAGAGAATGTCACAATTGTAAAACAAAGAAATAAACAGTTTTAAAATGAAGAGGATTTGATCTGCATTTATACACTGTATTGATTGACAACATCGTAATAAATAACTTCAGTCCTATTTGTCTGACTGGTTCCTGCTATGTGTCATCAGTCATGTGTTTCCTTTATGAATCATTAGAAAGGAGCTTACTTTTTAAGTAACTTTAAAATGAGTTCAAATTAATGTAATTATCTTATGTTTTTTTTCTCCATTACCTTTTTATGTTGAGTCATTGTCACATGGACAATATAACTTATGTTTTATTGTAACAGCCCTGAAAATACCCAAATACCAAATCAATTAATCAATTAATTTTTCTAGGATGTAATTTAAAATGCATCTGTTTGAGTAAATGTAGTCTATATGTTATTTTCTTTAGTGAATCTCAAGTATAACACAGTATAGGCCATATAGAACATCATGAATTAATTATAAATAAAATAAAAGCTGTTCTAGATAATAGACAGATGAAATAGTGCAGGGTTTATACACAGAATCACTAAAACACATGTATGTTCTTTTTGTGATAAAAACTGCAACTCAAGGTTCACTTTCTAGCTTTTTCCAGATCTTTGGACCATCCCATGGCTTTCTTCAACCGTTTGAAATTTAAGATGCATTTTAGGAATAAACTGCAGGTTTAAAGCATTTTTAATGTTTTAAATAATATGGAATGATCATAAGGTTATCTTTCTAAAGTATCACGTTATATAATATCACACAGTGTGTGAGAGTGAATGAATCCTTTGTGCTTTTATTTACTAAACAGACCTAATATCCTCAGGCTAATTCCAGGAAGTCCTTTAAGCTGTTCCAGTAACTTTTATTTTCCATTTATTTAATAACTGGAAAACTGAGAAAAACAACTCCCGTAGAAAAATGCTTCAATGAAACTTTATTAAAGACTTTTTTATTCTCCTGCTGCTGCGCATGACGTCACTGCCATCTACAGCCGCTCGTGCGTGGTACGTCACAGCCTCGCTGCTGCTCGAGACTTTTCTTTTATTGGTTTTAAAAACACCAAAAACACAACAGCGGCCCACAGAGTTTCACTATAATGACGTTTACCTCGTTGAATGGACGTTTCTGCAACGTGTCGTCACGACCACGACGACCCTAACGACGCCCTCGAGCCACACGTGGAGGGGACAGCTTATAAAAGGTGAGGCAAGGTGCTGACCTCCTCCAAAGGTCACAGTAGTTCACCTCCTGTTCACAGACTGCTCGACGGTGAGAGTCGCCGATGTGTGTCCGCTGGGTGGCACCAGAGAGCGGGGTGTTCAGCCCTGTTTGCTGTCGGTGGTTGAGCCGCGTTCATCTGACGTTCAGCTGTATCGACATCCGGACGCCACGCGGGTGCAGCAGCGTCATAGCAGTCCACTGTGCTGAGGCTGAGCGCGCGGGGCTGGTAGAGCTATGATACGGCAGTGAGGGGCTGTTTGGGCTTTAAACATTTTTACAGGTGGTTTTATTTTATTAACATTTTAGCCTTTTATTATAATCTGTTGTTTTGTGTCGTATTTCATAAATGTATTCGTTTTTATTGGTTTTATTGCTGTTTTTTAATATCTTAATAATCTTTTATCTTATCTTTTATTGTTGTCTTATTTAATTAAGTCTGTCTTTCTTTCTTTCTTTCTTATTTTCTGTTGTTGTTTTGGCATGCATTGCAACAACAAAACAGATACAGGAGCTGTATTGTTGTTTGCTTGTGTTTCAGCTCTAAATTTATTTATATTATTTTCTGGAACTAGTGGCGTATTTTGTGTTGTGTTGTGTTGTGTTGTTGTCATCTCATAGGAAGGCCACTTGAAAAAGAAAGCACAATATTATGAAAATGCTTCCACTCTAACCTAAAAACTGATAATATTAATAATAATAATAATAACAATAAAGGCAGATTATATTATATTCTTGGAGGGCCAAGGCCGTTTGAGATCCTTGTGTTACTTAAAGCTTGATAATCCATAGTGCAACAACATCAGGTGGTTGTTACCTAACATAATTAAACATAATTTGCTCTGCCTCCATCTCATCTCTTCATTCCATCAGACCCAAAATGTGAAGTTGGCTTTAGATAATAGGGTAGATTTTATAAGCCCATTTCTTTTAAATACATAATAACATCTCGGCGGACCGGGCGCAGCAATTGCTCAGTTGCTCACCTGATTAGATGATCAGTGCGGTACAGGGATTCTGTAAAGAGTCTGTCCTTTGTTGAGTGTTGCTGGCCCATCTACCCACTCAGTGCACTTGGCTGCAATAGACGCACACTCAGCAGAGGGATACGGGTTTGGATTCATTAGATGAGGACATGGCTCATGATGTGTGTGTGTGTGTGTGTTTGTGATCAGGATGGGGGGGTGTGTGCACCGGTCAGCAGTTCTAGAGGAGAAACAGGACACTGCCCCTCATCTCATACTTTCTCATGTATTATGTATGCCTGTGATGTCCGGCTGTGAGCTTGGCTGTGTGTGTGTGTGTGTGTGTGTGTGTGTGTGTGAGGTGCATGTAGCCACGGAAGTACACATTGTATCAATACTGCCGTTATCCCTGAGAGATCCAAACTGGTATTTGTCTGCCTTTGGCCAGATGAGACATTCAAGGTCTTATCTGGATTTGTCCAGGAAATCGGTGTCGCGGATCTCTAATGAGGATTGATGAGACATGGGGTTTAGCTGTCAATAAAATCGATGATCTTCACCTCTGTTGACCTGAGAGTGTTTGAGGAAGAGAGACCTTTCAGTTCACGGCTGCCTGCATTCTTAAAATGAGGTGTGTGACTTGTGGCTAAGTCGAAATTCCACACAGTCTCTGGCATGTTGAGCGTTTTGTTTCCTCCTTACCTTCATACGGTCATAAAATGTCTAAATTTAAAGGCTCATCCTAGGCGATATGATGAAATCAGATCCTGTGTATTGGGAAATAAGGAAGTGTAGCATATACATAATAATTCAAAGCAGTGTAAGGACTATTAACTTGCCCTGGCAGAATCTTCTCCACTATAGCTCATGATCCTCCGTTGTTACTTTTTTCTTTTTCAGGCATGTCACCCTTCAGAAGTCGCCCCACACCTTAAGGTTTTTAGCAATCATTAATGAACCAAGACTAATAAAAAAAGGATCCAAGAATCAGTTAAAGTAAAATAAACGTCAGCACAAAAGCAAAATCTTGTTTATTTTCTCTACATAAATCAAATGCATTCTACTTACTTTCACTCCATATTTCTCTCCTGGTCACCCACGGCCTCCCCTGCAGTGACTCTATGCACCCACCAGTGGGGCCCTCCTCACAATTTGAGAACCACTGACTTACACTAAGATGAAGTTCAGCATATGAAAGCAGAAGATTTGTCCGTATCTTTCATAAGCACCCCTGTTATTTTGTTTGGTTGTTTCATAACCACGCTGATTGCAGTCACATGTGAGGGAATGGAAGCTATGAAAATGTTAGGCAACCGTTTCCTCTGACCTCTGCTCGAGTTGAGCTTGTAAAGCTCAGGACAGACAGCCGGCCCTGCCTCACCTGGGTGGCTCTCCTCTGGGAGAGAAAGGCATTCGCCTGTTTTTACAAACGGAGGAAAAGAGGCATGTGTCGGCAGCTTGTGTGTGTGTTTGTGTGTGTGTGTGTGTGTGTGTGTGTGTGTGTGTGTGTGTGTGTATGTGAGATATTACGTGTGTTGATGTGAGTGAGTTGCTGCCATGTTTTCAACATCTATATAGATGTTACACATGTGCTAGTGGCTGTAAAAGCTGTAACAAAGCCAGCCTGAGGCCCTGTCTGCATGTGCGGCTCTGCTGCTGATAAACCTTGTTTCCCATTCTCAAAAGAGGAAGCGTACCAACCCCCTACACACACACACACACAGTAAAAAATTCACGCCATTATAAACATTGAATCCCCGTGAGTGACAGTCGTGCCTGTTTGCACTCATGCACCCCTAGAAATTCTTGGCAGGGTGCCGATTGGTTGTACAATATGCGCACATGCTTATGCATATGCATGAAGAGCTAAATATGACTCCCCACTTCAGTGCAGACATTTATGTGTTTTCATGCACATTTAAAGTCATATACAGATGTCTTGCCGCCCACGTTAGTTACGCATGGCTTTCCACCCTCACCTCTGGAATGTATGTAGGATGTTGAGCAGGATTGTTAACCTTTTCCTCGCCAGGATCAATGTCGACACAAAGCTCACATATGGAGCTGATACAATGCTATTGTTTTATTTTGAAAAGATTTTACTCACATGATTTATACATTCATATCACTATAATGATGTGCTGCTTCTGCTTTTCTCTTAATGCTTTTACGACTTCTGTGATCATTCGATATTGTAAATAACTATTAGCTTCAAACTATTTAAATCTGGTATCGATGGGAGAGCTACTATTCCATCCAGCATCAGTTGCATGTTTGCCAAACAAGAGCTATAGGACAGGTTGGTGTCCAACTCTCTGTGGTGGGGGATCTGCTCTCCCCTACACTGTTTGGACTCTGTATAAATTATTTAAAGGTCCAGCGTGTAACATTTAGGAGGATCCACCACCATCATATACTATTTGTATGTTTTCATTTGTGTATAATCACCTGAATATAGGAATCATGTTTTTGTTACCTTAGAAAGAGATGTTTTTATGTACAGAGGGAGTGGGTCCTCATCTATCCGTCAGTAGTCTGTTGAACCACCATGTTTCTATAGTAGCCTAGAACGGACAAACCAAACACTGGCTGTAGATAGGGCCCGTTTTTATTCCCAGGTCTTCAAATACTGAAGCCAGCGTGTTCAGTTAGTTGCAATCTGCAACTTCACTGCTAGATGCCACTTAATGCTAAACACTGGACCTTTAACAGCAGGTATTGATGGGTCAGACTTTATGATTCTACAGTAGGCGTTTCTTAAACAGATGATTTAGTTCTTCTGGCAGAGACTAAACAGTTATTGAGACTAAATTTGGTTTATATTAAGAAACAAGTAGCCTTGTGGTGTTAGTTATTTTTGGTCTTATTATAAATAAAAATGGCCCAGAAGAAATAAGAAAACCAAAACTGAGAACATATTGTGTTGTTAATAAT